CATTCCTGATAGCTGCATTGCCAGCCAGGGCATCTGCTCTCTCATTGCCTTTCACACTTGCATGCCCTAGGACAAAAATTAATTTGATTTTGCGAAATGCTGCGTGCTGCTTCAGACGGAACCATTGTTTCTGCCTTGATCTTCTGTAGCATGTTGATTGAGCTGATTATATTATTTCAGTGTAGAAACAACAGTTCATCTATAGTAAACACTTCTTTAGCCATGAATCTGTTAACAGAACATCAAGAAGATGACACTTGTTGAGAAACTTGAACATCTGAAATCTTTTACACCACTGAGTTGGTGAAAATGCCAGATTGCCTAGATCACTCAACTGTCATTGGCTGCATTATAATGTGAATACTAATGAATCATGCTAATAATTAATGCATTAGACGCCAATTCTGCAATAGAGGTTGGAAACTGAACTGGATGCCCACCAGGCACTTCCTTTAACCCTAGATATAGAGCTTGAGACTGTCACACATGCCCATCTCTTGATATCATCCTCCCTTCAAGAGGAAAACTCAGTGACACATCATTTGATTGTTTAGATTCAAGAGGAAAACTCAGGGACACATCAGTTGATTTCTGGGATTCGAGAGAAAGACTCAGTAACCCAGCAGTTGATTACTGGGATTCGAAAGGAGACTTACTTGTTCATATTTCCTTGCTTGTTGATGATTAATTACTTATTCATATTTCGTTTCATGTTCTTCTTTCCTTACGTGTTCATACCCATTCACTTGTTCATGCTTCCTTATTTGTTCAGGTCTCCTTTCATGTTCATAGGGACGTGTAGGGGATGTTGGCACAACCTGTGATCTGCAACTGCCAGTATCAGTTTATGTGTCTAGACCCCTTCATGCCACGCCAAATGACTGCCAAGAATCTTCCCACATTGCCTTCCTCTGTCTCTCTTTCCACAGCGTTCCAGTGGTCACAATTCGTTCCACTTACCTTCTTCTCACAATATACCCATATCTCTTTCTGATGTTTGTGATAAGTTGTCTTCGAGCCCTCCTGAACCTAGTAAAATTGTGATTCTAAGACGAAAGTTACGACCGCTTTGAGAAACTAACAACTAAAACTAGTTTCAACCGTTTTATAAGAATGTGTGTCTGTCTGTCTGTCTGTCTGTCTGTCTGTCTGTCTGTCTGTCTGTCTGTCTGTCTGTCTGTCTGTCTGTCTGTCTGTCTGTCTGTCTGTCTGTCTGTCTGTCTGTCTGTGTGTGTGTGTGTGTGTATGTATGTATGTATGCATGCATGTATGTATGTATGTATGTATGCATGTATGTATGTATATATATGAATGTATGTGTGTATATAAGCAACACATGGTCTCTGCAGTACTGCCCAAGCTTCGCACTATCGAGAAGAGGAGCTTCATTCCTGGTCCTAACTGATCTTGGAAAGAAATCTAGATACAGTAGTTATGAGTTATAAGTCCTTGTCAGTTGATTATAGAAGACTTCTTAAAGCAGGCGGGTTTTGCTAGTCATACTCGCCGTCGCCATAGGCAGTGATTCGCATGTCCCCTGGTTGCAGAATATAACACCACTGACATCGGGAAAGACGGAAGGTGCTTTATAATATATATATATATATACGTCTTATGCTAGGTGTAACGAGGAAAGATCGACTTAGGAACGATGATATCAGGAAGAGAGTAGGCACAGAACCAATACTCAACTTTAAAGGTAGACAGCAAATCAAATGGTTTGACCATGTAATAAGATTGGCAGCAGAAAGGGCACCACAAACAGCAATGCAATGCAGATGCACCAGTAACAGAACCAGAAGGTCGACCACGTAGAGGTTAAAGGTGCAAGACAGAAATGATTGCACTGGAGATAACAGAATGTAGGACGCGAGCCAGGGTTATAATGATAGTTAGTCGTTGATTTAGGTATAAGCTGCAGCTTAGGGGCCTGACACGATCTGCAGCAGCTTCAACCATTCTGTTAAAACCAAACAGGCAGATTTCTTATATTAAACTTTAAATGCAGTTTTTCTCATAATAAACTTAAATGCAGATTTCTTACAATAAACTTTGAATGCAGTTTTTCATATAATAAACTTTAAATGCAGTTTTTCTCATAATAAACTGTAAATGCAGTTTTCTTATAATAAACTTTAAATGCAGTTTTCTTTAAAAAATTTAAATGCAGTTTTCTTATAATAAACTTTACATGCAGTTATTTTATAATACACTTTAAATGTAGTTTTCTTACAATACACTTTAAATGCAGTTTTTTTTTAAAATAAACTTTAAATGTAGTTTTCTTATAATAAACTTTAATGCAGTTTTCCTTATAATAAACTTTGAATGCAGTCTTTCTTATAATACACTTTAAATGCAGTTTTCTTATAATACACTTTACATGCAGTTTTCTTATAATACACTTTACATGCAGTTTTCTTATAATAAACTTTAAATGCAGTTTTCTTATAATAAACTTTACATGCAATTTTCTTATAATAAACTTTACATGCAGTTTTCTTATAAAACACTTTACTTTACATGCAGTTTTCTTATAATAAACTTTACACTTTGCATGCAGTTTTCTTATAATAAACTTTAACTTAATACTTTACATGCTTTACATGCAGTTTTCTTATAATAAACTTTACATGCAATTTTCTTATATAAAACTTTACATGCAATTTTCTTAATAATGCAAACTTTACATGCAGTTTTCTTATAATACACTTTACATGCAGTTTTCTTATAATAAACTTTACTTTACATGCAATTTTCTTATAATAAACTTATTTACATGCAGTTTTTTTCTTATAATACACTTTACATGCAGTTTTCTTATAATACACTTTACATGCAGTTTTCTTATAAAACACTTTACATGCAGTTTTCTTATAATACACTTTACATGCAGTTTTCTTATAAAACACTTTACATGCAGTTTTCTTATAATACACTTTACATGCAGTTTTCTTATAATAAACTTTACATGCAGTTTTCTTATAATAAACTTTACATGCAGTTTTCTTATAATAAACTTTACATGCAGTTTTCTTATAATAAACTTTACATGCAGTTTTCTTATAAAACACTTTACATGCAGTTTTCTTATAATAAACTTTACATGCAGTTTTCTTATAATAAACTTTACATGCAGTTTTCTTATAATAAACTTTACATGCAGTTTACACAAATCACGAAAACAGTTTTGAAAGAGAAATGAACAAAAAAGCGTATTAATAACAATAGTCAATCGGTCAGTGGTCCTACGACCCCCCCCCCCCCCCCCCCCCCCCCCCCACTCCCCAACCACCCGAGATGTATTCCCTTTGGGGAAGAAGGAGCATAAGTGAAATTATATCTTTCACTGACTACAGTGTGCAACTGAATTTATTTTATCATCTGGCAAGATTAGTTGGTTAACACATTGACTCTTTCATTACCAAAAAGAGAAATGCTGAAGGCAAAAGTTGTTATACAATCATTTTTGTGGTCACTGTGAGCTTTAGTTAATAAGTTGACAGACTGCCCGTGTACAAATCTAACCATTCAATCTAAAGTGCCCTCAAAACCTCCTCTATAAATCCGGAAGCATATCGCACCCGTCGACACCAACCTTTGTGTTGGTTTAATTATTATTCTGTGGCTACCCGTATGGTAATTTCCCTGACCTCTCCCATTTTCACTTTCTCTTCTTGTGGTCTGGTCAGTCTCGCACATTTACATTGATTTGATTTGATTTGATTTGATTTGATTCCACCTCCACCTCCATTCTTAAGCTGGATTATGTGGTATCATATGCTAGCCAGATTCACATTTATCACTTAAGGCTCACAAATGTCTTACTTCTCATATACTATTTTACATAATGGTCTGGTCCGTTGCTTGTCCGCCCTGCATGTTAATCTTACCTGCAAACCTGTCCTATTGTCAATTTTCGTTTACAACTGCACGCAATTTTACGAGCCCCGGCCACCCCAAAGACCAGAGCTCTTTTACAGAAACTCTATTTGCTCATTATTGCTTCTGCCCTATTTTTCTCTCTGTTGATTTCTTGGTGCAGTGACAGTTTTAACAGGACATCCTGTAGAAATTGGTAGGTTATCTCCAAATCTTCACTGTTATTATAAATTGGATCTTTACTTTACTTTACTATATGCTAAAATATATAATTACACAAAGGGCCACCATGCGGATGAGGATCGCCCGCGAAGAGGTCCCAAAAACTTTTTTCAGCCGATAGGCTATATTTAGGGCCTCCGTCAAAAGCCAGGGTGGGGCTTTAAACAACGAAAAATTGCATCCTACAGGGGGACGACTGACATAGCAGAAAGGCGACTATTGTTGTGAATGTTTTTTTTAGATTCATTTCATACACTATTCGTATTTGGCCGAATAGTTGGTCCCGTTATTTGTATTCGACAGAATAGTGATTATCACCTATTCGGTACAGCTCTACTAATTATTTATATCGACCATGCAGGATTCTCACTGGCAGTACATCTTCCGCTTGCACTTCAAATCTGTATTCACAAACTGCACAGCACAGCCTTTAATCCGTGTTGTCACGGATTGATTAGACAGGTTTCTTAGGGCTAGTGGGTTGAAGACATTCATTCGCTCTTCTCAGCAAACATGCAGCATAGGCACTCCAACTGCCAGATGACCAGATCAGAAAGAAGACTCTTCTGTCTCATTCTTTCGTGGCTTAAATAACCTCTTCCTTTCCTCGTAAAGTTTCAGACTGTTCTCAAGCTTTCATGTTTTTCTTGCTTAGCATGCTTTTGGCCAGACTAAACAAAGTTCACCTTTGCCTTGATTTGACACTTTCTCTGTCCACGTACATATTATTCTTAATACCATCCATTCAGAATAGTTCATCATAATGCAATAAAAAAATAAAAAAATGATACCCCGTTTAAATTATAAGGAAATTAATATGAGGGTACTAGACCCTTGTAACTTGCAGCCCTGTGCGGGTAAAGCTGTGACAAAGATTCTTTAGCACCTTGCATCATATGTTATTGCTCATCAGTTGGTGGAAAAATAAATCCTTAGTATTTCTCGATTTTGTTGTTGTTGTCTTTTTCGTGTTTAAATGTTATTTCACTCACTCTAGAGTTGACGTGTGCTGACTCATTTGGGTATGCGAGAGGTCAGAGGCAGTGTGAATGAACATGAATGTATATGAGTACGCGGACAGTGTACAAGTGCACAGAACTGAGACCATTTAATGTGTGAGTGAAAGAGGTATCGCGTGAAATCCATGGGCAACCGGGGCCACCATAGGCAACTACGGCTACCATGGGCAACCACGGCCACCATATGCAACCGGGGCCACCATGGGCAACCACAGCCACCATGGGCAACCACGGCCACCATGGGCAACCGGGGCCACCATGGGCAATCACAGCCACCATGGGCAACCACGGCCACCATGGGCAACCACGGCCACCATGGGCAACCACGGCCACCATGGGCAACCACGGCCACCATGGGCAACCACGGCCACCATGGGCAACCACGGCCACCATGGGCAACCACGGCCACCATGGGCAACCACGGCCACCATGGGCAATCACGGCCACCATGGGCAACCACGGCCACCATGGGCAACCACGGCCACCATGGGCAACCACGGCCACCATGGGCAACCACAGCCACCATGGGCAACCGGGGCCAGCATAGTCAACCACGGCCACCATGGGCAACCACGGCCACCATGGGCAACCACGGCCACCATGGGCAACCACGGCCACCACAGGCAGCTACAGTTACCATGGGCAACCACGGCCACCATGGGCAACCCGGGCCACCATGGGCAACCACGGCCACCATGGGCAACCACGGCCACCATCGGCAACCACAGCCACCATAGGCAACCACGGCCACCATGGGCAACCACGGCCACCATAGGCAATTACAGCCACCATGGGCAACCACGGCCACAATGGGCAACCACGGCCACCATGGGCAACCACGGCCACCATGGGAAACTACGGTCACCATGGGCAACTACGGCCACCATTGGCAACCATGGGCAACCAGGGCCACCATTGGCAACCACGGTCACCATAGGCAACCGCGGCCACCATAGGCAACTACGGCCACCATGGGCAACCACGGCCACCATGGGCAACCGGGGCCACCATGGGCAATCACAGCCACCATGGGCAACCACGGCCACCATGGGCAACCACGGCCACCATGGGCAACCACGGCCACCATGGGCAACCACGGACACTACGGGCAACCACGGCCACCATGGGCAACCACGGCCACCATGGGCAACCAAGGCCACCATGGGCAACCACAGCCACCATGGGCAACCACGGCCACCATGGGCAACCGGGGCCTCCATAGTCAACCACGGCCACCATGGGCAACCACGGCCACCATGGGCAACCGGGGCCAGCATAGGCAACCACGGCCACATAGGGCAACCGGGGCCACCATAGTCAACCACGGCCACCATGGGCAACCGGGGCCACTATAGTCAACCACGGCCACCATGAGCAACTAAAGCCATCCTGGGCAACCACGGCCAACATGGGCAACCACGGCCACCATGGGCGACCACGGCCACCACAGGCAACTACAGTTACCATGGGCAACCACGGCCACCATGGGCAACCCAGGCCACCATAGGCAACAACGGCCACCATGGGTCACCATGGGCAACTACGGCCACCATTGGCAACCATGGGCAACCAGGGCCACCATTGGCAACCACGGTCACCATAGGCAACCGCGGCCACCATAGGCAACCACGGCCACCATTGGCAACTACGGTCACCATGGGCAACTACGGCCATCATTGGCAACCACGGTCACCATGGGCAACCAGGGCCACCATTGGCAACCACGGTCACCATAGGCAACCGCGGCCACCATAGTCAACCACGGCCACCATAGGAAACTACAGTCACCATGGGCAACTACGGCCACCATTGGCAACCACGGCCACCATCGGCAACCGCGGCCACCATAGTCAACCACGGCCACCTTTGGCAACCACGGTCACCATGGGCAACTACTGTCACCATGGGCAACTACGGCCACCATGAGAAACTACGGCCACCATAGGCAACTACGGCCACCATAGGCAACTACGGCCACCATAGGCAACTACGGACACCATTGGCAACCACGGTCACCATGGGCAACTGCGGTCCCCATGGGAAACTACGGCCACCATTGGCAACCACGGTCACCATGGGCAACCACGGCCACCACGGGCAACTACGGCCACCATTGGCAACCACAGTCACCATGGGCAACCAGGGTCACCATTGGCAACCAGGGTCACCATAGGCAACCACAGCTACCATGGGTATTGTGAGGGAAATCTGAGATCCATGTGGGTCCGGCCGCTGGTGGAAACCCCCATTACAGTTTGATTAATTAACACTCATTCAGTGAGATAGGATGGATCTGATAAGTTATGAGTTAGATAATCTTCACAGCACTCCGGACACATCCATAGGTGCTCAGATTCAAAATGTTCTTCAGCGTTGTGTGGTTAATAGTACCAGTCCTATGTTGGTTAAAAAGACTTTGTGTGCGTCCGGCGTGCTTGTCATGCTTGGCTGGGCCGAACTTTACTCGAAATTCGCGTATTATTAGCAATGATGTGGACACGCTGCTTCCAAAATCCTCAGCACGTTCTATCGCTCTAAGGGCAGTGACAATGTCTACGTGATCCAAAAGGGGTATCTTGTAATGGAGGAAAGAGAAGAGATAACTTTAAAGGATAATATGGAAATCTACTCCTTGAAATCTTTTCGACTCCGAACATACAAGAGATCTAACAACGTGACGTGGCGAATGGGAGCCAAAACCCAACATTAAGCTGCCTCAGTAACAAGGGAAAAAAAAGAAAAAAAAAAGTTGTGTCTAGGTGGGTGTAAGATCAAAAGTATCTCACCCTGACAGGAAATCTTTTGTGTAAAGTCTAGATCAGCCAAGCAACAAATCCTAAACTAGGCGCACTAGCTACAAGTCCTAATCTGAAAGAAAAACAATGGAATTATGATTACTATATTGAACATCAGTTTATTTCACTTAAAATAAAATCAGCGTGGCCCACAAATAACATTAACAACAACCAACGTGCCTGACCAGAATCTAAAGCGATCATCAGCTAACAAGGAAATGTGACAATGACACAATACGCTCAGCGAGATTACCTTAACAATGGCAAAACCTGAAACATATTTAACGTGTACGTAAAGCTTCGATATGCCACCATACTAAAAAATCACATGTAGCGACCTGCCATCCTAGAGAGAATACACAGTGGAAATCACCTTTAACACCACCTAAACAATTCAAACGTACCATTATCGCGAACACGAGCCAGTCTAACGTGGGCAACGGTGTTTTCGTCCGAGGGACCTCTTGTGTTTGTTATCACCTCATCTTGATCCTATGGTCCCTTACTGTGTCGAGGTAAACTATCATTTACAGCAAAGAAGTTGTTGGTGCGCTTTATAATTGGGATTCCCAGTGACTATGTTATTCCTTTTGTTCATGGTTTGCACGGTCGGCCTCTTCTTCGCTTTCCGCCTGTCTGTACACCATTGCTTGCTGTTGTATGCTGCTTTGATGACATTCGAGGTATTTGGCCGAACCATTTCACGTGTCTTTTAATGAAATCCATAGATGCCGCTACCTCTATTTTTCATTGGATTTCATCATTCCTCATCTGATCTCCTACTGTTATAATAAAAGCCCTTCGCGGGAATCTCATTCCAGTTGCAATTTTTCTATTCTTTTTTTTTTCTTCTCTTTCTCACTGTCCACTGGGTCTATATCGGATAACTGACCTCATAGAAAATACACAGTCACAGTTATAACTTCTGTAGAGGTTGAACAGGGAATCTTGGACTGTATCTGCTGGTCTGCCATTCAGATTGAGTTATCTAGTCTCACCGTGTCAAAGCTTCGCGCAACCGCCTGAAGGGGATCATCACCGGAACGTTATTTACCTAACAGTTAGAGAATGAAGAGACTGTCAGTAAGAGATGCAACATATTATTATGTTAGCAACAATAATCAAAGCGACGACAGTGAATTTCAGTTTGCTAATGCTAATGCTGACGTTGTGAACGTTGATCGCCACCAGACTCCTCATGGCATTGAAAGCGAGACGGTCTCTGCTGTATCAGATACACCCAAGGACCGTCTTACCATGGATAAAACATCACATTCTGAAGAAATCACCGATGAGAAAGACAGTATTACACACATGTGCGACCCTTCATTCACAGACGGCAAAAATATAAACTTGTATGTGGAGAGCCAAGTGCAGACTGCCAAAGAAGACATCCCAATGCAACCTACGTCAGAAGAATCAGCACTAGCCAGTAGCAACACCGGGAAGTTTAAGAAGATTTGGCGGAAGGTATTTCCTGCCTCAGATCACGAACTTCCAGTGGGGTTTGAAGCGGTGTTGATGGAATTTGGTGACCCCGGAAAATTTTTCTGGATACAGTTTGGTTTACAGATGTTGATTACGTTCTCATTGACAAACACGGTGCTGGTGTACGTGTTTACAGGTACGTGTGTCATACGTGGGACCGGCGTTCACTACCACAGTTTACAGTTAAGTGTGTCCTGTATGGGGTTGGTGTTCATTATCACAGTTTACAGTTAAGTGTGTCCTGTATGGGGTTGGTGTTCATTATCACAGTTTACAGGTGATAGTCCTGTTCACGTTTCCCGCTCATTTACACACTGTCTGACCTTTCGTTCATACTTTCTCAGAATCTTATACGTCGGAGGGATGTCACGTTGTCCTGCCTCCAATTACATCAGTGGCGATGTCGCGTGTTATATACTTCAAGAAGACACAGCTTTAAACGACCCAAGAACATCTAGAACTGGCTCTAACCCAAACTCCCCTACACACAGCCTTAGCCTAGGTCACACAAGAGACTCTTGTCGAAGAAAGCAGTACAACGTGACACCCCTCTGACATAAATCAGACTGATAAAGTTGTAGATTGGCCGGGAAACGTGGACAGGTCCTTTATGATTACTAGTAACAAACTCAGACTCATCTACACACTAGGTTTCATCGATGCTTTCTCAGGATGGTCAACGTTGCTCGAGATTAGAGGGTTGTCACGAATTCTCTCGTCGGACCTACTTCCAATGTCTGTATAGAGGGTTGGCTTTAATGTCAGTTGTACGGGTCATGGAGTCGTTAAAAGCGCTTACATCCTGTAATATAGAGCACGCATGGTTGCCGGTAAGAGTGTCAGAGCAATACAAGGTAAACGCAAGCTGACACCCCTGCCACTTAAAATTGCGCGTCTCAAAGGTAAATGAAGACGCAAGAATGCACGTCCAATTAAAGTGTCCTGACTGGACTTTGTCACTCACAAGTGTGTAGCTGGGCCTGAGTTCGTTACATGTTCCTGTACACGTATCACAAAACAACGCATTTCAGTATTTAACTACAGATAGATGGCAGTTTTTATTGCACATGGGCCTTTATTTAATGTTATCTATAACCATATGGTACTTATCAGGCATAATGTTGCATGCCCTTGCACTATTCAATGATGTTTTATTTAAACATAGTTCATGTATTTCTTCTTTCCTAATCCCCCTATCTCCCTTCCACCCCCTCCCTTTTCTCCCCCCAATCCCCGCTGTTACCCAAAGGTTTGACCACTCTTGTATTAAAGAACCTTAATCTGGATGACAATCCCACAGGGCAAATCCGAGATGCCCCGTTCAACCTCTCAATAATGTGTAAGTGGAACGTCTGAAGTGGCTAAATTAGTCAGGGGCAATCCTATGATGGTAAAGAGCTTTAGGTTGACGCCTGAATGTGTAGGGATAGGAAAAAGAGTAATTTGCACATTATGTTTTCATTAAATAAACAAAGCGTCAAACACATTCTAAAACCAGTAGCTTCAAATAAAGCAAACATTTAAGGAAAACCAAAATGATGGGGGGGGGGGGGGGGGGCGTGAAGTGAGGCCCCTTTATATTTACTAGGGACTGAAAGGGAGCTCTCATGTGGACTAAGCCTTGTTTAATGTCTAAAAAAAAAAAAAAAAAGCGCTCGCATGTGGATCCAAAGGACTTAAAGAAGGAGTCGAAACGGAGCTGTTTAAAAAAAAATAATGTCATTGGCCTCAAGGTCGACTCAGTCTTCATTGGGTACTAGGTGAAGTTCTAGGAATGAAAGGCGGTCGGCCTGATGTTGACCACATCATTCACAAAGTGTCGATTGTCTATAAAGTATCCATCCAGCCCTATACGCCTAAAACGACTGAAAGTCTTGAAAAGCCCCCTATCCCGCCCACCCTTCACCCCTCCTTGATCCAACAGCCCTGAGTAGAGCTTCATCTCTCAGGTATTACAGGGATACATCGTGCTCTGTTCCCCGACTAGTTCCAAATATATTTTGTGAAAATTGCATGTTTCATGCCCCATATTTGCCTGCTGAACATAAAACCAGGTTACGAACCTCCTCACGTTTGTAAGAAGTTGGAAAATGAATCCACGCTCCTGGCCCAGTACGATCTCCACAATACATCCGACACCAAGGTGGAATATGGAAAGTGCGACATCAGTATTGTTGGCAACAGGAGCGGAGTCAGAGAGACGGTAGCCAGCTTCGGATGTATGGCCGGCCATGACTATCATGGGAGCAAACACATATCATTTGTGTCTGAGGTAACCTAACTTTCATGTCTAGGTACACGTATCAGTGCATGTCTTATTATCGGCTAGATTATATCTGCAAGTAAATAAAGAACAGCATATTCATTGTAACTTTAAGAAAGCATAGACTACTAATGAATGTAAAATTGGCCATCGAAATCACACGATAGCCAGTAAATCTCAACATATTGTGCGAACATTACTAAAGGTTGTTGCGTATCCTTTACAGGACGTTGCAGAACCAACGCCAAAAGCCCCTGGCTGTTGTGTGGGTTTTCTATGCAATTTACGTCCAGTAGTTTGCCATTGCTTCCTGGACGGTTGGCTTTCTTGATACCACTGTTGAAACCAAGGCAAGGCGCATGGCCCGCAGCTGGGATAGAACCCGGCATCCCGGCATTACGAAGCGTTCGCATCGACTTAGCCACAAAGCCGACGCGAACATTAAGAGATTTGAAAAACTACCTGACCAATCATCGTCAAACCGCAGTTGTCTTATAGAACGCGGCTCTCTTCGCGGCACGGCTGAAAGTCTCTCTGTCTCCAGCTTTATGGGCTTTCATAACCAATGCACCTTCTGTGTCTTCTGTCCACTTCCCAATCGGTCTTTGATTTGTTTTTCCTAAACCCGTAGTCTTAATCACCGTTTGTATCAGGCCGATATGATATCCAACATGGCTCAGCTTTCGGGACAGAACACAATTTATGAGCCAGTTTCATCCATGTTCAGTTTATGTAGGATATTGATGTTGTTCTTATTGGTGCGTGATATTCCAAGAACTTCTTTTTCTTCTTCGCGTTCACCAGCTGTACACTCTGGCGGAAAGTTCTGGTTGCTCGTCCACTAATGAACTGTAGTCCAGCTCCAGAACCTGAGTGTTGCGTGTGCATTAGTTTTACAGATCTCATTCTCTTGAATACAGATTGTTGATTACTGTTCTATAACACTAATGTTTACATTTACGAATATCACAATCGAGTTTTTTTTTTTTTTTGGGGTGTTTATGTTCGTGTACTTTAAGCTGAGTTTTTGCTATCCTGTCCTAACTAAAACGCACAGAATTACCATCATTGTGCCTTGTTAAAAAAAAAAAAAAAATGAACACAGACTGCTGCATACACGGGGTGAGCAGCACCCAGTAGACAAGGATAGAACAACCTGGTGTTAGTTTGTCATTACGCTGTGTTTACATTTCACTGCCCAACATCATGTTTTGCAAGAGCCTACGACATGAGAATAGAAACATCCAGAGACAGGGGAAGGGCAAACAGAAGATGGGTCAGCCGTTAGGCAACTCTTTTCAATTTCCAACTGCCAAGGGATTTTTTTACAGATACCTCTGAGTACTAAAGTGAATCTTATCAGAAATATTTTTTTGCCAACACTATGCTATCAATGCCAAACGTGGACACTTACATCCTCCAATGAACGTAAAATTGTGACAACAGAGATGAAATGCCTTAGAAGAGCTGCAGGAGTTTAATAAAGGAAAGACAGAATACGAAATAATGAAATCAGACGAATGCTAGGAATAAAGCCAGTCTTACAGGTCATCAAAGAACAACAAATGAAGTGGTTCAGACACCTAACAAGAATTCCCAGTTACTATCTGCCACAGCGAGCCACACTAAAACGTTACAACGTGTATAGAGGGAGTCGAAGACCTCGGAAAATATGGAGTGATGGCATTAAGAACAGCCTTAAAGAAATGAACATTAGTCTTAATAGTGCTCTTGACAGAGCTCATAAACTAACATTACATCTCCCCCCGACACTTCGATGAGGTACAAGGTGGAAGAGAAGAGGAAGAAAAAGGAGAAGAAAAAGAAGAGACCAGGGGGAGTTACCAGAAGATCCTTAAGTGTGCTGAGCAACCCCTGACTCCCCGCCCCAATATGTTTACAGTTTCACGCAATGTTATACAATGCTGCCTTGTTCTTTGATTACGTTACAGTGGGATATGGTCTGTGACAACGTGGGACTGAAGGAAGTTGTACAGGTCATTCTGTTACTCGGACAAACCGTTGGAGCCCTCATATTCACGAGTGTTGGTAAATCATATCATCTTCTTTAGCGATCTCAGGTCATGCGTCTAATCCACTATGGTCAATAGAAGTGAAAGATAAAGGACAATTTTTCGCTCCTTTGGGCGTATTGGGCACATAGGGTTAGACCTATATTGATACGTACCAATCGGCACTTCATGGATGACGTGGTCAGCATCACACTGGTTTCATTTACTTGCTAGGACTTTTACCTGGTACCTATTTAAGGCTGGGTCAACCTGGCAGCTAAGGCCTTATTTACACACACACACACACACACGTGCACTCACACGTAATGCACGCGCATGCACGCTCACACACACACACATACACACACGAAAACAAAAGCCCGACACTGTCCTGATTTGAACCCACGACATGGTTCATAAACAAAAACACATTTTTACCCCCATTGGATTACAAGTTACTCCTGGCTGGTGAGGCACCGGTTATAACTTCTTCGCACGTTGACCGGGGAATCTGGAATGTTTCCAGCTGGTCTGCCAGTCAGAATGAAATCGTGTGATCTCAGCGTGTCAAAGCTGTAAGCAGCAGTCCAGGAGAGGGAACACACGCTTAGACCATCAACCAGCATTTCAGCTGGGGTCTTTTGCTTTCCCAGTTCTTAGTTGCAGCATTAGATTGATCCACTGAATATGAAATACTATCATCATCACTGTCGTCATTCTCGACATAATCCACATCGTCAACATCATTTAGTTGCTTGTCATAGCCGTCTTTTTAAAATACCTCTCTACCATAAGCCAGAGGTTCTGCCTCAGCTGCTACTAAGTTTAAATCACCTGTTACATCTGTGTGTGTAGACTTCCTCAGTTCCATTGTGTGACGAATCTCCCTGAAGACCTACCTACCTGTCTTCTAGCATACCTAAAAATATCTCAGTTACACTAAATATTCTTGGCTCACATAATCAATATAGTTCAACATTTAAATTTTGTTGAAAATAACTTCTACTTCTTCCTCTTCTTTTCTCTACTCATGGAGTGCCTCTTAGCGTCAGGGCAAGAAGAAATTTATAGAACGGGCTCTTCTGTTGGCTTCGTATGTAGTACTTTTCAGTTTCTGACACTTCCGCTGTCATTCTTCAGCGTGGCAGACCTCTTTCTTTGTTACCGCTATATCTGTATAACGTTGCGTCATGTGGTGCCCTGTGTGTTGTCAGTCATGTTGCATGGCCAAACCATTTGTTCTTTGTTTACTGATACAGTTTAGTATTGATTCTCCTTCTGATATCGTTCCTAAATCAATCTTTTCTTTCTTTGTTATACCTAGCATGATACGTAACCATCGCGTTTCTGTCGTGACTATTTTTCTTCTGTCTTCTGAACACACTGTCCATGTTTCCCACTGATTGCACACAGGTGGTTAGAATATTGTGTTGAACAGTACTCTTCGTATTCATATTTACGTGCTTGCATTTCAGTACTAGTGTAAACTCTCCGATAGCTTGATTGTCTTTAGAGCATCTTTGGACACATCAGCTTTTTATATTTTCAGTGCAGATCACGATAAACACTCTTTTGCTGATCTCCCCCCCCCCCCCATCTCTCTCTCTCTCTCTCTCTCTCTCTCTCTCTCACTCTTTCTCTTTCTCTTTCTCTCTCTCTCTCTCTCTCTCTCTCTCTCTCTCTCTCTCTCAAGATAGATTGGACGACACAAACACACATCGGGACCTGAAAATAGTAGACAGATATAAACTTTGCTAATGCATACACCAGGACAGACAGATCTGCGTAATAACTACAGATATTCCAATGTTGCATATTTAGCGGACAAGTATGGACGCAAGCCTGTGTTAGTGGCATGCAATTTTCTGCTGGGCGCTACTGGCTTTGGGGTTGCCTACGCCCCAAACATTTATGTGATGATCGCTTTCCGATTTCTGTGCGGCTTCTTCCAACAGGTATGTCTTCTTACAAGTCGCAGTTATATCATATTTCTAAGTTGTAATGCATGTATTATCAACTCTACTGGACATGATTTTCCGCTGCAGTGAGTGGTCATCTTCAAAGATTAGGGGAAAGAAGTGCGTGTGAAAAGCGTACAGCAGACAACAGAAACACGAAAGATCTAGGGACACAAGGTATCTTCTTCGTATTGGCGTTCACGGGATGTAACTTCCGACGGAAAGTTCTGGATGTTTGTCAATTTCTTGATTTTAGTCCTGTTCCAAAACCTGAGCGTTACGTGCACATCCGTTTTACCGATCACTGTAGTTAGACTTGGCTCCTTGCCTCTCAGGCAGATAGTTCTCCTGACAATAGTACGAGTAGAGCTACAAACGTTTGTATTTTCGAACAAATTAGGCACTGTTTGACCCTTGCTGAGCAAAACTTTAATATGAGTACCTCGCCATATGTTTTGGTACGTTTTAGAAATAGTGTCAGTGGTTTAAATTCTGATATCATGTTAAACTTAAAAAAAAAATTGTGGATTGGTTGTTTATTGAAAATAGGCGAGGTGCTATAACTTTTCTGATGCAGTGTTATTTCCAATTATGCTGTGTATCTTAGTTAACACGAAGGCTATTGTTCTTGTATTTTTTTTTTGGTTGTTGTTGTTGTTGTTGTTGTTGCCTGAGTTAAAGTTTCCTATACGAGCATAACAAAATATGGTATGTAGCACAGACACCGATGATAATGATAACACTGGAAGCGGTCACAACAGCTTTATAACAAACTAAGCAGAAACAATGGTTCAGCAATGATGTAGTGGACAGAAAATTTCAAATATGATCACATACAAATTACGTTAATTAAAAATGTATGGTGTCTGTGTGTGCGTTTGTCTGTCTGTCTTTAAAGACCTTTAAATGGTTTTTTTTTCTCCTAAATTTAACAATTAATAGTGTCGTACTTTTTGGTGTGTTTTAATACCTCTCAAAAACAGTTTAATCTTCTTCTTCTTCTTCACTTCCTCTTTTACCGCTGTGGGTGTCGAGGGAGATATAAGGTTCTGTTTCTGGCTCTTCTGGCCGCCTCGACCATAGGCACATCGTGCTGTTGTAGAGCTTCTCTGATGTTATCCTTCCATATTGTTCTTGGTCTACCTCTTGCTCTACGACCTTCTTCTCTTTCCATGTATGCTTTGCATGGTATGGTGTCACAAGGCATTCTCTCTAAGTGGGCAAACCATTTCACTTGCTGTCTTTGTATGTAATTTAGAATAGGTTCTGTGCCGACTTTTTCTCTTATGATTTCATTCCTGATCTTATCGCTTATGGTCACTCCTACAGCCATTCTCAGACATCTCATTTCCGTGGTTACTAATTTTCGTTTATGGTTTGTTGTGAGTGACCATATCTGGCACTGGTAGCACAGAGTTGGAATAAATTTGCTTTGAATAAGATGTCTCTTTGTGCTGATTGGGATTGTCTAACATTTTAATACTAGTTTTCAAAAATACTTCGGAAGCCCTGGGTAGGAGAGTTCATAGATGAGATGGCAGCGTCATATCGAAATATTGCCAACGATAGCAGTAGATATACTGCAACAGGCATTCCTTCTGAAGACGATTTACAATATAAGTTGCATGTATGTCTTACTGGTGGTTGAAGGCACTACTGTCTCATATATGCCCATGATGTACCTTTGCATGTTTGTATATGTATATTATATTTTTATATGTGTGTGTATGAGTGTCTGTGTATGTGAGTGTGGTTAGACGCTTGCCTGCGGATCTGAAGGTCATGGGTTTAGGTCGTGACGGCGCTGTACTGTTTTTCCATAGAAACCTTGGGTTCGTTTCACGGTTGCGCCAATCATTTCATGAGTGCAATGTTAGTTGAGATCCACGGAGTTCCTTGCCGGAGCTATGGAGTTCGCTATTTGTTTGACGTTCTCAGCAGACGGCTAATCGTTCTGCGGACGGATGATGAGCCATATGGGATGCAACCTGGTGCACTGAAGTCGACCCTCTCACTTTAACCTTTAACCCTATAACATCCACAGGGGGCTACTTTAGTGGCTGTCACTTTACGGATGGAGTTCCTGACATCCAAGAACCGACGGGTAGTGATAGTTCTGAGTGGACTTTTTTGGACTCTGACCACTGTGCTGTTTGGACTGATGGCCTATTTCATGCGAGATCAAAGCTGGAGAATGCTTCAAACTGCAGCTGCGCTGTTCACTTGTAACTTTATTCTTAGTGCTCTGTAAGTGATCTGTAAGTGATCTGTAAGTGCCCTGTAAGTGCTCTGTGTGTGTCAGTTTAGTTTTTGTTGCTATTTAGTATACCTGACATAGGTAATCCCATACGGGTTCTTTTGTATAGAAATGAAGAAGTAGACTTTCACATATCATCTCCTTATCATCTCATACAAACTTGACGAAGTGGGTCAACTGAATCGCAGCAGCGCTCTTCGCAAGAACAGTCTCGATGAGATGAGGAGCTTGGGCATCGAAACCTCAACGCCTCTTAACGGGCTTGGCCCAGGGGTCGCCATTATCTCCCAATCGCTTTCATCATTAGTCACCAGTGCACAGAAAATTGATCTGGGCAGAACAATGTCGTTCGCAGACGATATCCTTGTTTGCTGACAAGGAAACAACAGCGATGAAATTACAACAACGCTACAGCATTAATTAGACCTACTAAGTGTGTAATGCCAGAAATCAAGCGCACAGGTAAACCCGACAAGCCTTCCTTTCCATGGTTCTCCTTGAATACCGACATTGTCATTAAAACTACGAACACGATGAGATACCTTGACATAACTTCCGAAAGATGCTTGTCATACAAGAAACGTTTGACGGCGCTCAAGGCCTACTTTTCCTGCCCTCTCTCGTGGACTCGTACTAAGTGTTTTTGACTCCGGTCTGGGCCTCACTGTCAGCAGAACCCAGCTAGCAAGACTAGACCGTGTACAAAGTGAGGCCTCGAGACTCATACTTTCCTGCTTAAAAGACACCTTGAACCACGTCAGGCGGTATGTCATGGGTTTACCAATGACGGCCACCAAATATTAAGTGACAAAGGTGAAAGCGTTCATGAGGATATCAGCAGATATCAACCACTCACTGCACATCGCTATCAATGATATAAAAGAAATGCTTCTAAAAAGAGGCTCCTCTTTTTGTATTATTCTCTATCGTCCTTTTCAGGATGAAATTTTTTATTTGAAGCTCCAACCTGGCTTTTGCCGGGGGCCGCAATATAGGCAGGCCATAAATATGGCCAAATGTCTGAACGCGGTTTCTGGGACCTCTCCAGGGCGATCCTCATCCGCATGGTGGCACTTTGTGTCATCGGGTGTTTATCGCTTGTGTGATGTCCTGGTGGGGTAGAAAGTCAGTCAGTCAAAGAGGCTCCTACTAGAGGGGCAAGGCATAAAATCTAATCCAGCAAGATATGACCTAGACGAGATCAGTCACGGAAAAGAATGGATGGATACACCAGTAGACATGCATGACCTCTCTAAGGTTTTCATAACACTGGGGAGGTAGGCCAGGAGTCAGATACCCGTAAACGTAGACGCCGAGATCAGGGCACTGATTGATCAGCATGAAGAAACATCTCATGCAATACATATTCATTCCCACCCTATAAACAATTCTAAATTACAGCAGAGACAGTAAATCAAATGGTTTGCCCACTTGGAGAGAATACCTTCTGATGCTATACCATGCAAGGTACATACCAAAAGAGGAGAAGAGACAGAACAGGAATGAGGTCATACGAGATAGAGTAAGCACATAAACAATTCTAAATTACAGCAGAGACAGTAAATCAAATGGTTTGCCCACTTGGAGAGAATACCTTCTGATGCTATACCATGCAAGGTACATACCAAAAGAGGAGAAGAGACAGAACAGGAATGAGGTCATACGAGATAGAGTAAGCACATAAACAATTCTAAATTACAGCAGAGACAGTAAATCAAATAGTTTGCTCACTTGGAGAGAATACCTTCTGATGCTATACCATGCAAGGTACATACCAAAATAGGAGAAGGACGTAGAGCAAGAGCTAGACCATGAACAAGATGGAAGCATAACACCAGAGAAGAAATACAGCACCACGATGTGTCTATGGTAGAAGCAGTCAGAAGAGTACGAAGCAGGATATCTTCCTTGACACCCGAAGCGGTAAGAGAGGGTGTAAAGAAGAAGAATACGATTGATCAGCATTCACTCCCAGAAGACGTCGTCATTTACACTGACGGGTCAGTGAAGCGTGGGTCAAGATCATCTTGGGCATGTATAGCACAAAAGTTGGGGAAAACAATAAAAGAGGATAGGGGCGTTTACCAGCCAACTACGTCAAGCATGACTAAGGAAATAATTGCTGTTTCCAGAGCACTTGCATGGGAAGCAGAACAAGCGGGCACACGTGCGGTAATTGTTTTTGACTCCAGGAATTTTAGAAAATCGCCACAGGGAATGTTTCATCAGAGCACGCATGGGGATGCCCAGTGTGCAAAGACGTCGATTGTGACAACATGACGTAACATACTACGAGCGTCCTCTACAATTACGATCTTCACACAGATTATTACGGGGTCCCTACATAAACTGTTGGCCATTGCGTTAATCAGGTCCTGCCCCAGCCCTCCGGCCCAACTTCTTTTGTCTTCTTTTGCCATTTATCACCATGAAGCATAGACTGTCAACGAACTAACACCTTGTCGTCTAATCCTTCTATGTCGCCGGCAGCTCATCCCAGGTCTTCCACGTCTTTTAACATCACTCTCTAGCTACATTCTCTATGTGTCCTTTGGTCTGCCTGTTTTCCGATGCCCCTGTGGATTCCGGTGTAAAGCCGTTCTAGTCGCATGTTTCTCAGGTTTTTTGAACATGTGTCTCAACCAGTTCCAGCGTCTTTCCTTCACCCTTTGATTCAATTGGATCTATTTAGTTCTCTCCTAAAGCTCAACATCTGTGGTTATCACACCATTAAATTACGTCATCATATTATTAGAAATTTCCTCGTTCTGGGTGCTGAGGCCTCATTGTTGGAGTGGGAGAATAGACCCACTGCCCCTCTAACAAACGTCGTAAGAGTCGACTAGTTAGGAGTTTACTTTGAAGTCGAAATGCATCTACATAAGACAGTCAGCATACAAATCAGCCAGATCTCTAGACAACGGATGTACAACACTCAAGTTTTAGGAAGAAACTAAAGTCCAAAAGTGGACAACAACAATAACTTTCCGCCTGTATTAATAGCCCGTAAACTTAAGAAATAGAAAGTAATTGTTTTTATTTTCTCCATGTATTTGTTCCATACGGAGGTACTGATTTGACATTAAAATTAACTTCCACAAATTTCCTAGATCTTTGAAAACTCGTCTTGTCATTAATATTCTATTTTAATATACATTTTATACCTGTTGCTTCCGTCGAAGATAAACTGCAATTCTAATAGTGTTCTATTAGTGTGTGTTTTTTCTCGTTCCTTTTGTCCGACGTCTGGTGGCTGGCTTATGCATTTAATGCGTGTGTTATTCGGGCTTTGCCTGGACTGCAGCCTCTTTAAGTTTGTCAGTGATGGGTTTTATCTGTTGTTTTCCTCGGCACAAGAGGTAGGTTGAGGTGAGTCGAGAAATGATATCACAGCACTCAGGGCGTTCCCACACGTGCTTAGTTTTTATCTTCAGCAGCCAGCAAAGAGTTCCAATACTAATGGCACCTGTCGTAATCTGGTTATACGTCCGTTTTGCCTTACCCTGAGTTTAGTGAGCTGGTCAGACCCCCTGGTTACACCCAGGTGTCTCAAAGGCACAGGAAAGGAGCAGTTCTGGTGTGGCCAGTTTGTATGAATTCGGAACTGCTACTAAATAACTAAATAACTACCTATCTAACATGTCATGGACGAGACGCGAAATCTGAGAGGCGTGGTTACCACTAACCATTTTCCAATACATAGGAAATTGTCACGCATGATTTAATTTGCCGACTCTTTAGGAACCTTAACACTCACTGGTTGTTAATTTCAGTTTCCTGTATGAATCACCTCGCTGGTTAAGTGCAAACAAAAAGTACGCCCAGACTCTAGAGATTATTAGAAAAGCCTGCCAGATAAACAAGAAAGATTACCAGAAGGTTAAAGCTGTGTACGAACTCCATGTCATCCAGCCCCAAGAAGCTAAGGATCTGGTAGGTAATCTACATCCGCGAGTAAATTTTGTTTACAACACTTGTCTTTTAAGTTACATTTATAAGACAAACATAATTGTTGCTGTTGTTATTGTTGTTGTTTGTGTTATTTTTTGTTATTCGTCTATCACAAATGAGGACCGCTCTTTCTTTCATTCGTCATGGATGAAGTGAATAAAAAGTTACTTTCGCGATAAATTGGTTTAAAGTTAGGAAGAGTTGCGCAGTTTCAACGACCTCACACCCTCGCTTGTATTCGTCAGCATCCAGTGGCAGGATAGGACACATAAATACCCCCAGACAGAGATGTATGCAAACACACACACACACACACACACACACACACACACACACACACACACACATACAAGCACAAACACGTACACACACAATATTTTATTGGCCCGTGAATATAAAATCAATTATTTGACTTACTACCCATCACTATAAGATCGTTAGTCTGACACCATAATGTTATTAATTTATACCAGGGAATGTGGGTATAAGAGAAAAGGAAGAAGCTGATAGACTTGCTGATATGTTAAGTGTCTACCATAAGCAGTATGAATCCTGGGTCAAATAATGAAAGTGACAACGCAATCTTGATAAGACTTCGAGAACAACACATGCCAATAAGGCCGAACAGAAGCACTGCACAGATTAGCAAAACATAATTTAACACAGAAAGAGTGGTATTATGCGGAAGACTGAATGGTTCCATGTATAACCTACTAAATAATGTGGATTCATCCACAAAACGTGTTCAAAAAATTAAACATTGATTAAGTTGTATAGCAATAGTTATCTGCTTGAAATAAAGACGTCTTTTTGGCATTGACAGATAGCGCTGGATGCTGCAGCAACTAAAGTAGAGCGAAATAGCATTCTGGATATTGTGCGACATAGGGCACTCTTCATGACATCTGTCATCCTGTGCTTCATTTGGTAAGTTGCACGATTTCACTCCTATAGATATTATTAGTCACAGACTCACCGGGAGACTCATGGAGAAAAAGTGTACACCAAGCACACGATAACTTCCCCCTGCCCCCCCCCCCCCCCCCTTGTCTCTCACTGTCTGTCTGTCTCTCTCTCTCTCCATCTATCTGTCAATCTATCACACACACACACACACACACTCATTAACGCGGACACACACATGTATTATATTGACACAGTACCTAATTTGAAAGAAGCTGCCATAGTGTAGTGGCTAGACACTCTCGTTGATTCAGGAGCCGGTTTTTTTATAGTGACCTTGGCTCCCAGGTCGACCTGGTATCGGTTAAAGCCAAGGGAAGTAAAGGCGGTCGGTCTGTTATTGACTAATTTAGCCATTGATTGACGATTTGTCTATTAATTATAGGTGTAGTCATATATACAATTTAGGCCTGAAGGCGTAGAAAAATGTCCTGTGCCTAATTTGAACATTATATCCACATCCTCAGCATGTAACTGTTGAGATATAATGCATTCCCAAGTGATCTCCATTGATGCCGGTACATTTTTGTCTACTCTGCTGATGGTATACCATATAAGTTTTACGCTTATTCTTTTTCAGCAATGAGTGTTGACAAGTAGCGGGAATTACACATAAATCAGTAAACTAAAAGTAAACAACCCTTTTTCGCGGCTATAGGCGTATTAGGCATATAGGGCTAGATGTAAATTTATAGATCAATCGTCACTTGGTGGGTGATGTGGTCAGAATCATGCAGACCTCCTTTACTTCACAGCACTGTACCTGGTACCTATTCCATGCTGGGTCGATCTGACAGCAAAGGTCTGGTAAAAAAAAAAGTGGCATCTTCAGGAACTCAACCCACGACATTCCGATCCACAGGTGATAGTCTACACGCTGGGCAACGATAGCTGCCCCTATGCAGAGTAGAGGCAATTAACCAGTACGATAGAGTCATTAATGTTATGCTCTGAGAGAGAACTAAACAGGGTTCAGTAGGTCAAGAGGTGAAGAAATTAAACTGGCTTTAGAAAGGCCAAACGCTGAGAAAACCTGGCAACAATATAACTAGACTGTCTTTGAACTGAAACCTACAGGGGCACAGAAATAAAAGCAGAAAAAAAAGCAAAAAAAAAAAAAAAACACACACACACACGAAGAAGATATCTTTAGAGTGAAGTTAAAAAGATAGGCAGAACATGGGATGAGCTGCAAGCAATAGTGTAGGATAGAATGATATGGTGCGAGTCTACTATGGGCAATCTAAATTTCATTGCCGGACAGAATACAGAAGAAATATTTGCATAATTATATGTAATGAGCCCGAAGTTCCCCAGGGTGTCTCCTCAAGCTTAACTATGTCTCTCCTGGCAGGATGACCAACTCCTTGACCTACTATGGCCTCTTTTTGACGTCATCATCACTGGCGGGAAATCGTCATCTCAACTTCATTCTGATTGGACTATCTGGTTTGCCATCAGACATGTTGAACATGGTTCTTCTTGCTTTGTTAGTACACAGCATGCTCCGTGTTTATGTATTTGTTCTCTGTTCTGTGTATATGTATGCGTCTTTTCAGCTTTTGCTCAAAATTTATTGTTGTTTTTTGTTTATAAATTATTTTATAGGTTAAAGGAGACGGTTCTCGACTGGTCTAAGTGGCTCCCATATGTGTGAAGATAATTAACAGCAAGTGTTTCCAGACAGTTGTACAGTTGAAGCTAAAGCCGATACAGATACACATAGATAGTTGTGGCACCATTTATATGTGGACGCCAGGGAACTAAAAAAGTTGTTGTTGGGCAGAGAAATTGAATATCTTATCAAATTAACTCTTTAGTGCTGAAAACCGGAATTTGTAGTTGAAATTTTCATTTTTCGTCCAAAGACGAGGCCTAGAAATGAACAAACAACCATATTTTTTCTTTTTTTTACAGCCGGTGAAGAAGAAGAAGAAGAAGAAGGAGGAGGAGGAGAAGACGAAGAAGAAGAAACAGAAGAAGAAGAAGAAAAAGAAGAAGAAGAAGAAGAAGAAGAAGAAGAAGAAGAAGAAGAAGAAGAAGAAGAAGAAGAAGAAGAAGAAGAAGAAGAAGAAGAAGAAGAAGAAGAAGAAGAAGAAGAAGAAGAAGAAGAAGAAGAAGAGGAAATGCAATCTATTAAACATAACACTACGAATGTTTAATGTTGAATAAGGAATGGACATCACAGCGCTGGTGACATTCTCATAAGTGCTCAGACATCATCTTCAGCAGCAAGCGAAAAGTTCCAATTATAAAGGTACCAGTAACCGTCTGATTGTATATCCATCTCATCCTTCCCCTGAGTTCTGGGCGTCCGCCAGATCCCCTGATAACTCCTCGCAGCGCCATTTTCCTCCGACCGTAATATCTATCAGCGCCTCCACACTGTTAACCCGTTCCCACAGGGCGCTCAAAACATCTAACTTGTCATACTTCAGTTCAGCACCAAGTGGTGCAGAGCCAGCCAGTATATCTGCCTCCTCATTTCCCAACACACCGGCATTTCCTGGATAAAATATCATGAGGATGCTAACTACCCGGTAACTCCGATGTGATGCTTGCCACTCTGCACAAAGCATGCATGTTTTCACCTTTCTCATCATGCTCTGTGAGGCAGTTACAATGTGTGTGTACAGCTGATTCTCAAGCCAGCAGAAAGCAGTAGAGACTGCCTCCTCCTCCATTCTCAAACTAGAGGTTGTGATATCATGTATAAGGCATTACTGCACTCAATGCACTTCGTCTGCCCCTCAACACAGAGCCATCTGTATAGATAATCACATCACTTGGGCGGGAATTGTCATGAATCATTTGTTGAACTTATGATTCTGCAGCGCCAGCTGGCCAGTCTCTGCACTCACGGCCTAACTTGATTAGAACCCTACACAAGTCTGAAACTTGTTTAGACACCTTGACCCACTCGTCTCCTCGCTCAAAATTATCAATCCTGCACACGTGTCCAATTTTGTCTTCAGCTTGCGCCATTCAAGACCTTCCTCTTTTCAGTTTGTGACCCTTAGCTCTACCCAGGGCTTCATGCAAGAGGTGCTTCTTGTTTGCAGCTACTCTGCGACAATCTTTGCACAATTTTGAGCCTATCTGCAATAGTAGACAGTGCAAGTATACATCACATAATACTACCAGGGTATCTCTTGTACATCCCAGAATTGCCAGCATGGCTTCGTTCTGTATACGTTCAAGTTTCATCAGCTGACTCTTTGATATGGTAAGAATTCCAAGTCCATAATCTATCAGAGATAGGTTCACATGCTGGAACATTGTTAATAGTATTCTTTGTTCCATGTCCATTGCTGCCATAATCTTGAGAGCATTGGTTCGTTTTTTGGCATTTCACCGCAACTGCCTCCATGTGATCTCAATAGGACAGGCTTCTATCAAAAGTGATACCCGGTACCACAGTTTGTTTTCTCTTTTGATGCTACTATTATTAACTATGAGGCTTGAAAGATTAACTTATAAAAATCTATTGTCTAGAGAGCATAATAAAACCATAGCTTTTTTTAGAATAATGACAGCAACCATCTCCCACACAAGTCAGTCACTTTTTCAACAGTTGCCTGTAGCTCTAGGGCTATCCGTTTTCTAACATTCCCATGCCTATATGCAAGAACATCATCAGTCAATATCCTTCCAAGTGCTTCAAGTTCTGCAATCTTGCTTGTATACACATTAAAGAGCACCAGTGAAATTGCAGAACCCTGGGGTGGTCCAGGGGCTATTTCTGAGGTCCATGTACCCAGGCGACGGGCAAGCATACGTGAATGCAGGACAGCTGCTATCCAGTTCACAAGCCAGGGATAAACCCCCTTCTCCATGGGTGCAGATTTCAAAATATACCTGACTATTGTAGTCATTCTAAAGATCAGGTGCTGCCACAACTGTGTCCTGTCTGTTCTGAAACCCTTCGTAAACATCAAAAGCAAAAGTGGCTGCGTTAGACCAGGTATCTTTCCGTGGACGGTAACTACCCAAACGTTTTGGTAGCAGTTTGGTCATCCAAAAACATTTGTAGTTTAACAGCAATAATCCTCTCTAGGACCTTGCCGAAAGTATTTTGCAGGAGTGATAATCATGAAACCGCTGAGTCTGGAATGATCTTTGCCTGGTTTTGGAAGGGGGACCAGGTATCTGTGTCCCCAACAAACAAACAAACTAAGGCGTGGTAGAAACTTACAACAGGGAAAAAACACCATTCTGAACTTCCTCCAATCAAGGATGGTAAAATATATAGTTACTTAATTCTTGTTACATTACCTGGCTTTCTCGGTGATAAGAGACAAAGGGGTGGTTATAAACTCATGTGTCAAATGGCAATTCAAGTGCATAAGGTAGTTTGAGAGGGAAGTTTGGTGAAACTTACATGAATCAACATGTGAAATAATATAACTGTACACACTCACACTTTTGTGCATATTATTTAAAACACTGTAAATTAAATACAATTGATTTCAACAGCTTCGGTCGGAAACCGGTAATAATGGGATGGCTATTGACTGCAGGCACTGGGCTTCTGGCCGCAACCATGTTCATGGCTTTTGGTGAGTACGTCTCGGTACTTCTAGCACCACATTCTGCCCGGTCCGAGGTATTCATCCCCTTCAGACACAATGCCCATCCCGTTGGACACCAGCTTCATCAGACAGCATGAACGAACGAACGAACGAACGAACGAACAAACTTTATTTTCAAAGGGTTAAGCATTGGGCACGCAGGCCCGTCTAACATTCTGCCCTCCCACTCTGCTCCTTTCATACAATGCTTCATTTTTACCTCATTTCATAGTTAATAATAATACTAATAATAATAATAATAATAATAATAATAATAATAATAATAATAATAAGAGGAATGCACAATTAAAAAATTGAGAAATATAGAAAACAAACAAAAGAACAAAAAAAAAAACAAAAAAAACAAAAAAAAAAAATTACGATATCGAATCCCTAATTACAAATGCTGGAATGTGCTCTAATTTATACTGACATTACTTGAACGTTTTAAAGAGTATAATAATAAGCCTGTTCCAAAAAGGATGTAAGTCTTACAGGCTGCATAATATAAACATCATCAAAACCAATTAAATATTAGTTACAAACATTGGAATGCATTCGACTGACATCTTCAGTTTTAAACAGTAATAAGCTTCAGTTTTCAACCACCACCAAGTTGCCCGACCCCCCCCCCCCCGCCCCCGACCACCCCCCCCAAAAAAAAACGTTAATAAGAAATATATGAAAGCCTTAACATACTATCATCTTTTATGGGGGTAGAGTAAAGATCCCTCTTCACGCCTAAGGCGCATTGGGTATATGGGAAGAGCATCCCATAATTTTACAGATCAATTGACACTAGATGGGTAATGTAGTCAGCATTACGCCTGCCGTCTTTACTTCCACAGGACAGCCATCCTGGTACCCACTTTAGGCTGGGTCGACTTGCGACGCCCTTTACCATGATGAAAATCCACGCAGCCAGCAGTGGGTTTCGATCCCGGTACGTTGGATTACGAGTCGGACTCGCAACGCCTAAGCCACAGACGCCGACGTTTAGACGTATAAGACAGTTGGTTATGTTGGAGTAGCCAATGATTGCGAAACGGCTGGACGTCAATTGATGGTGGGTTATAGACGTTTTATTACTGTTTGTGGCTTTCGTCCATCACATGTGATGAAGATGACATAGCATCCAGAGTACGCGATAACTGGGTGACAGTGACCTGCGTAATAACTTGGATTTAGGTGAGAAAGATATACACAATGCTTCGACCTTACTCTCTCAGCTAAGTCCATCTTTATCCTTTATGGATGACCAAGGTGTCTCAAGTGTCTTGCCTTTCTCGGAACATTGCACACAGCATGCTGGTGATGACTTTGTTTTGTCCTTTGAGCCATAAGAGATTTTACCAACACAGTCCACCGAATCCAGTCTTTGCATGCAGGGCAGAGCAATGTTTTGCAGTACTTAGTATTTATACAAAAGATCGTATACAATTACACAGATATATACTTTGAAGTAACTACTGCCAACCTTTCGTCCAAGCATTCGTTGTTCTTTCTTGCAGTTTAAATTATAAGTGCTTTCGATAACATTATAGTAATTACAGAATGTCATGATTGTTGTCATTTAGTTATATAGACGAGTAAACGCGTTGCGGGAGGGAAAGTTTAATCTGAATCTTGAAAGAGGGGTATCGTGCTAGCAAGAAAGTTAAAAAGAAAGAAAGAAAGAAAGAAATAGGTAGACCTCCGCGACATCAGTGCTCCCATGTTGAATAATTGAAATGTGCATAAAGTTACAAACTGTTATCTTCACTAGCAAGAAAAGATATCCAACCAGGAGGAAAGTAAAACTAGTGAGCTTCACATGATCTCAAACGATAAGTTAGCGTTGCGGCTAAAAAGCCTTCATCAGGATATGACATGAATTGATGTTATATTTACAAGCAAATATGCACAAAATCTCTCAAAGTGTCTCTCTTACAAAATAATCCCTATGTCTCTCTGGCCGGTTGAAGCTCTGAGGCGCATAGGAATATAATCACTAGCGAGGAATAAGACTCGATTCTAATATACATGGCTTGTTTTGTTCTTTATTTTATTTGTTTTAAAACATGTCCCCAATTTTTAGGCTCCTCAGAGGCTTCAGTGATACTCTCGGTGATCTTCTCTTGTGTTGGAAAGCTAGGTATTGGCGCCAGCTTCAGCAATATGTTCATGTACACACCCGAGCTATTCCCCACCAATGTTCGGTAAGTTCTGCTTGTGTTCATTTACACACCTAAGCTGTTCCCCACCAATGTTCGGTAAGTTCTGCTTGTGTTCGTGTACACACCCGAGCTATTCCCCAGCAACGTTAGGAAAGTTCTGCTTGTGTTCGTGTACACACCCAAGCTGTTCACCAGCAACGTTCGGTAAGTTCTTCTTGTGTTCGTGTACACACCCAAGCTGTTCCCCACCAAAGTTCGGTAAGTTCTGATTGTGTTCATGTACACACCCGAGCTATTCCCCACCAAAGTTAGGTAAGTTCTGCTTGTATTCATGTACACACCCGAGCTGTTCCCCACCAATATTAGGTAAGTTCTGCTTGTGTTCATGTACACACCCGAGTTGTTCCCCACCATTATTAGGTAAGTTCTGCTTGTGTTCATGTACACACCCGAGCTGTTCACCACCAACGTTCGGTAAGTTCTGCTTGTGTTCACGTACACACCCGAGCTGTTTCCCACCAATATTCGGTAAGTTCTGCTTGTGTTCATGTACACACCTGAGCTGTTAACCACCAACGTTCGGTAAGTTCTGCTTGTGTTCATGTACACACCCGAGCTGTTCACCATCAACGTTCGGTAAGTTCTGCTTGTGTTCATGTACACACCCGAGCTGTTCCCCACCAATATTAGGTAAGTCCGAACGTATTGTGCTTTAGTCTGTGTGTGTGTTAAGCATGTCCCCTCCAGATTTACATGTGCCAATCAAAGAAACCCCTACAACCGCCTTGCCACACAGCACAGTTTTAGTGTGGTACTACAAAACAGTTGGGAATCGCCATGGTGTATCGACTAGACGCTCGCTCGGAAGGTGGTGGGTTCGAGTCCTGAAAAAAGCCCGTTTTTTTTCTCCAAAAATGACTTTGGCTCCCAGGTCGACCCAGCCTTGAGTGGGTACCGGGTACAACCCTATGAAGTAAAGGCGGCCTAAATGATGCTGACCATATCACTTACCAAATACTGATTGGTCTTTAAAATATAGGTCTAGGCCTATGTGCCCAATAAACCCGTCAAAAAGGGCAATTACTCACTGTTACTTTTTTACAATGGTGCTTAGCCACATACGACTGCAAGCTGCGTCTGTCTGATATATTCGTTAGGTGTGCCTAAGAAGGCGCGAAAAGGGTCCTTTACTTATTTACTTGAAGTAACCAGTTGTCCAAAGTGTGTGGGTTACATTGCATTATTTCTATAGCCACCCTAGTGATTGACAACAGTTTTATATGTGAACAGATCTGCCGGCCTCGGAGTCTGTGCGGGTGTGTCCAGACTTGGCAGCATGCTATCTCCATACTCTCAAACGCTGGTGAGTACATCATGTCATTTCCTTAAAGTTTACGTCATGAGCGTCTTCGCTGCACTGCGGTATAATTCATCTGGCTCGCCCTCTCTACAGAACGTCTAGTCTCTGCAGGGAACATCGCACAATGCATGATCTCATTTGCTTCAGTGGGGATCTCAGTGAAAATTACCCTCCTGAATTTGACAACACAGCTGTGAAACGAACCCACGACCTTCAGACCGCGATGCTATCGGCTCATTCAATTCGCCACAGAGAGGCGCCCCCCTCCCCCACCCCCTTTCCCCAATTTACCAAATAAAAAAAAAAAGAATAGTAATAAACACACAATGGAATTTCACAACTTCGTGATCAGAAGGGACAAAGCAAGCGTTATGCTTCTTACTTTGATCAGCACAATCGTAATCGTAATCGAGAAACCAAAAAAAAATGTCAAACTTTGTCCTCTTTCAGCTGCCCGAAGTCCTGCTTTATCGAGTACATTTTCTTTGCTATCTGATTGAATTCGTTTCTGTGTGGCGATCATTTTCACCTATGTTAGGGTATTTACTGCTGCATCATGTCCGCTCGGTCAGGCTTGGCAGTCGGTTTCCGGGTTCAGCATTGTTTTCACAACTGCCATCGACTCCCAAAACACCCCGAGTAAAGAAGGTATCAGATGAGTTCTGGGAAATATTGCGACCCGCGTGACGTTGACCACATAACCCATCGAGTGCCGATTGGTCAGTCAAAATATATACTCTAGCAGTATATCCCCGATACGCGGAAGGCGGTAAAATATTTCGTTACTTTACTTACCCTCACTGCCACCTGAGGGCTGAGTGGTCTCGAGGCATGGTGTCTTCCTCGAATGCTAGAGGTTCCAGGTTTAATCCCAGTAAAACCTAGGATTGTTTCACGTGGACTTGGGACTTTGAGTAATTCCCCCTGGTCTGTGGGTAGTTAGATCGGATGCCCCTGTGCATTATTGCGCACGTAAAAAATCTCTTCGCAATTGGAAATCGAAAAGAGTAGCCTAACGGCGCTGCCCGGGCAAATGTGGAGTTAAAAATCTACCCAAAGTATTTGAGGATCCTCGCCGGTGCTACAGAGCCTATGCACTGTTCTGGGATTCTTCGGACTCTAGGCTTGAAAGAAGAACGAAACACTTATGGCTTACTACCAGTGTGCCAAGATGTTGATCCGCTGTTCAAGCTACAAACTTCAAACTGCCATCTGTACTCCGAGCAAAATCACTGTTTTCATTTTCAACACGTGTGAGTCTTTCCTTTTTTTTTTTCGTTTTCACTGCCAGTGGTTTTTAGATGAGAATGCCATAGGCCTAGAAGTTTGTGGTGCCGTTTATATCTATCACTGATCCATACAGTGTGGTTTCTATTGAAATTTCAAACGACAGAACCTGGGATCTCTCTATTGCATGTTGAAAGCATATCTGTAGCACATAGATTGTATTCTCTAGTGCCTGTCCACACTAAGCTAAGTTCAGAATCCCTGATCTTGAATTCCATGTACATTTTACTGCTAGTTTGTTGAGTCCAGTAATAACAAGTAAAGGACCATTTTCACTAATGCAGGTGTAATGGAAATATATAGGGATAGACCTATAGTTTATAGACCTACTGGCATTTAATGGGTGATTTGGTCACTTTTACTTTACAGGACTACACCTGGTACCCGCTCCAGGATGGGTCGACCTGCCACACTTCAAATAATGTTTCTTGATCAACATCGTCACGTCTGTCCTTGCACTTATCCTGCAGGCAGGAATGCAACAGTTATTCATAATTGCTGCTCTTATAACACTGGCAGTCAGGTGTTTGTTCATTCGTTTCTACCCTCAAGAGATTCCAACTCAGTGATCATAAATATGAAAATACCTTCATGTCCTCGAAATATGTCCCTCACATTTGCACAAAATAAATTTAAAAAATTGTTTTTTTTTTGGGGGGGGGGGGGGGGGGGGGAGGGGGAGGTGTGGGGGGGGGGGGGGAGTAATCTTATGCAGAATTTTAAAAAAAGTTAAATGTGGCTTTGATGTTGGCTTCAACTCTTATTACAGACATACATCTATAAGAGCCTTATGGTCCCATGCGATTTGTTTACACAATTTGGGATCTATCTAAAACCTAAAACTGCTTTCAGTTATTTTACAAAGTAAAACACTCAAATTTTGAAAACTATAACTGGTTGTACGAAAGGACGTTTTGTAAGGAATAGGTGCGAACTAGCTCGGTCTGTTACGAGATTCGCCTAGCGAGAATAGAAGGAAAGAGATTTTAAAACACATTAGAGAACACATGGACAAGATACTGAGGAGACTAGGCCGATTTATGTATGTATTGGCTGAGCGGTTAATAATTATTATTAGTCATCGCTAGTGAATTACTATTGTTAGAACCTAGAAAATGTGAATGCAACCCCTGATGGCTTGCAGAATACATTTTCCATGCAATGTTACCCTACCACAAGTATGCATCTCTTTCTGAAACCGTCCCTTGGGTGCACCTTTCTACGGCAGTCCTGAATTTTAGTAATACAGTGAGATAGTATTTTGGCTACAGGACACCAGTAGCACACATATATCTTCGTGTAGGGAGTCGGCAGTCCAAACCCAAGTTTAAGGTGTCTCCTTCGTGCCAAAGAACTGCATGGCTGATGGGTGAACAGTCGTTAACGAAGGCAGTCAGGTCGTTGTTGGTGGATGTAATGTCCTAAATCCCTTCCCCAGCTAATAGTAGGGTACTGCTGGGGTGACAGTTTGTTAACCCTCACATAATGCTTCAGGTCCAAATGGACACTAGGCACTGCCACTGTTTTGAGCCGGGGCAAACATATTGGCTTCTGCCAGACTGTGGCCGTTGTTTTTTTGCTCCATTTGTAGACTGGAAGTATATAGTTTCGTTGCCCAGCCTCTGAGTTGAGTGCATGGTGTGACACTGTGAGCTGCGGATTTCATTTGGAATGTTTTTCGACTGACCAACGTGGTGGTGTGATTTATAGATTCAGAAAATGGCACAATGCCGGTTGTCGCAATATTGGTGGGGCCATTATTTGATTAAATTTGATCGCGTGTGCAATTGCTGATCTTCCAATGACTTTTGCTACCATCAATGATGAACTGCATTTCTAACGTTGGACTGTTTCTGTTAGCACTTCGGATGGCTACCATATGCTTTTAATGCGAGTATATGCTAGATTTGCTGAGAGAGCAGTTTGTCAGTCTTTCCACAAGCGACTGTGATAAACATTCTGTGTGTTTTTCGTTGGCACAAGAGCGGAGCAAGGATGGGGTGACCCGTTTGCTGAAATTAAAATTACCAGATTACCAGATTACTGAGGAGAGACTGAATACGACGGATGATGACCGGAAAACACATTAGGAAGATAGGAATAAAAGGATTACATTGGGACAATGGCAGGACGGTTCGATCTATATATTAGGATAGGGACATCAAGCCAGAGAGCTGGGGCACATACCACAATCATCATTGCAAGTCACGCAAATAAACCAGGCAAGAAATTTAACCGGAAACTGTTGACAGCGTCATTGTCAACAGCAGGTTGAACATGACTGAATGGAATGAGGTTGGCTACCTCATCCAATAGCCCTGTTTTTTGTCGTTGTTTTAAATCTGTGATCAATTAATTTTCTGAATTTACTAATGATATACTTGAACTTCTTTATTCCTCACAGAATAATGTATTTAGTGTAACTGTACACTCTTGAATAATCGCTTCTTCTATAGTATGCCATTACATACGTCGTCTTATTCTCTGTCTGGGCCATTGTATTTAAAATCATACAAACACCGGAACTATCATATTCTCCAGTGCATTCTCATTTGTGTAATCACGGCTGTTTTATCGATATAACGCAGGCTATTCACATTATTTCCTAAGATTCCACTATGTTGTGGTGTTGGTATGTTATGTTTAACTTATGTTGAGATGTTTAAACTCTATTTGTTTAACTTGTTCTTAAATTTACACCCAACAACAGGCTGAGGTGGCACTGTGGGGACCAGGCCTTATATTTTCCGTCATGTGCTTCCTTTCCGCCATTTTGTTCACCAAATTGCCAGAGACGAGAGGACAGCCCATGCCAAACACAATCTCAGACATGAAACAGCGTGTGGCCAGTAACTACGGCAACAGGAATGTTGATGTACTTGACTATGAGGCTGAAATCCTCAAACCCAAATGATGTCAGCATCAATAGTTGAATTTACTACAAATGCAAATAAGTCGTATCCCTAAGCACCCAATCCAATTGTATTTATCACTTTATATACAAGTGCCAGTTGACTTACATCAATCGAACCGAGTGACAGCTTGGGCATAGAGTGGCAGCGCACATACCCAAATGGCTACATACACAGTTCTTTAATTCTTTAAGGGTGTTGAAACCAGTCAGGAGGAAAGCCCACACATAGGATGCCATTTGCCTAATTCCGAAAACCTAATTAACAAGGACAGTGCTTCATTACACACGGAAGATGAGACTGCTGAGAATGGCCGATGCTTTAACGATTAAAATCAACAACTGCCTCCTTTGTAAGAGCACTGAATTTATAGTAAATTTGAAGTAACACACTGCTAAGTCATGTGACTACTGGGAACTTCCGGCGACTAGAGAAACCCCGATGCATCGAATGAGACTATTCACATTTCAGTTGAATTTATTCAGTTTTTGTGCTTCATATTAATGTAACTCTGTAGTGACGCACCTGACGGGATACAACGAGATTTGCCCGGAAATCAGTTGTGCAATGTATTGTTTGTGTCTGGGTTATTTAAATTCATTACGGGGAAACATTGTTTTGAAAACCTAATGTATGCCATCTTCTACAAAATATGTAAAAGGGGGTATGTTAGACAAGCCGGTAGAACGCTAGCGGGTTGTTTCCGCGAACATGTTAAGGATATTCATAACTGGGCTCTAAAACTAAAACCTCCAACCCCTATATATTAGTTTTGACCATGAAAGCGACATCAATATCTCAGCTACTGCTATAACATCTTTGTCTGGTGATCAAAACAGTCGCTATTCATTAGAAACTCATTTCGTTCACAGTTCTGGAGTTCTCAGTCTTGGAGAGATAAATCAATATTTAACACAATATATTTAATTATATAAAAACTGACGTTTTTTCTGTTCTTTTAAACTTTGTTATGTTTTAAAATCTCCTTACTTATATTGATTCGAAATATAGCCACTCGTGTCCATATTTGTTTCCCTATTACGTATTTCCCAAATTCTTGTTGACCTTGTTTGGTTAACTGCTCTGTTGTATTGTCCGTCGAGATTTATAGTCACAATTTGTGTTATAATTAGTATTCTGTTGATAAAGACTTCGGTCGAAACGTTGGGTTGCATGTGTGCGCGTCATTCCCATTCCCTCCTTGAATATTCTAGTCGTCTTTTATGCCGCATGTAGTACATTTTGTCAGAAGACAAAGATGGGACAAGATCACACTGTTCATCTGAAACACACGTGATTGGGTGACAGCTCCTGCTTGTTGGCAAAACACATGATGTTGATTTCATTGACTTTGGAATACATATTTACGCTGTACATCTTCCAATGTTATTAGATTACGATGAATATAGTTACTGACACAGAATGTTACGTTAGTACACATTCAGTAAATAGTAACGGAGAATGGGGGGGGGGGGGGGGGGGAAATCTGATCGAAGCTCTGCACACAGAAGGCAGTCAAGCTTTCAGTCATGAGGCTATTGATATCATCGAAACAGGAACTCTTCCTTGACGCGGGAATGTGTGGATGAGGGGGGAAGGAAGGGGGGGGGGGCACGTGGCACTGTTCCTAGGGCTGTGATGTGGGTTCTTTTTTAGTCCAACTCATCATTCCATAAAGTATTTAAACAAAAAGTCAATAATTTAGTTAATCACCATGTCCCGAGCACTGTGATAGCTGTTCTTTTTTTTAGTCCAACTCATCATTCCATAAAGTATTTAAACCAAAAGGCAATCAGTTAGTTAATCACCATGTCCCGAGCACTGTGATAGCTGTTATTTTTTTTAGTCCAACTCATCATACCATAAAGTATTTAAACAAAAAGGCAATAATTTAGTTAATCACCATGTCCCGAGCACTGTGATAGCTGTTCTTTTTTTTAGTCCAACTCATCATTCCATAAAGTATTTAAACCAAAAAGCAATAAGTTAGTTAATCACAATGTCCCGAGCACTCTGATGTCAGTTTTTGTTTCAGTCCAACTCATCATTCCATAAAGGCCAGAATTTAGTTATCACACTACATTAGTCGACACATAATTTCCATTTGTTGGTAGCACTTGTTATTTACCACTCGACAAATGAACAGGTATTTTCGTTGCAGCAACCAGTCAGCGCAATGTTACACAAATGTATTTTTATTGCAACTCATAATCCACACTATTTCATATGAAACCAATCATTTCCTTGTGAGATGCAATTTTTTATTTTTAGAAGCCCTACTATGGCTCTTGCCAGGGGCCGTAATAAGCCCGACCATAAATATAGTCTAATAGCTGAACGCGGTTTCCGGGACCTCTCCTCGGTGATTATCATCCACATGGTGCACTTTGTTTCATCGGGTGTTTATCGCTTGTGTGATGTCCTAGTGGGGTAAAAATCTACTAGTACTACTATTATTTCATTACAGAAAGTTTATGTTCATTACAGTAACCAATGTATACGACTAAATAACAAATATAAATGTATCATACGTGCATCACCCAATCTACGCCATTCAGCAATGTAACACGTCTGTACGTTTTAGCCCCTAATGTAGACAATTTGAAACCAGTGACTTATTTTTCATATTCTCATCATACTTTGTTTATTCATTATTGGGCTTTGCTCTACAGACACTTTGTAATGACACAGTTGTCGACAATATCCGTGTCGAAACTACGATCAGCCTTTCACCAATGTTCCTGGATTTGAGAAGAATAATTGACATGTTGCAGATATGGTCAGATTGGGGGCTAGCCGAACTCATAAGACAGCAGAGCTCTCATACAGCTGTCTCAGCTTCAAATCCTCTTCATATCCTCAGTAGTGTCTAAGATTTTGTTTCTGTTGGTAGCAAAATAAAATGTCAACCTCCACAGTGTGACTGGACTGCACCAGCCATGTGACCCTAAATCATCACACCCGAAGACCTCCTGGCCAAAGAGGTAAATACAAGCAGTAACTGGGTTGGTTAGTAGTTGTACCCCACCAGGACATCGCACAAGCAATACACATCCGGTGACACAAAGTGCCACCATACTGATGAGGATCAACCGTGGAGAGGTCCCAGAAACCCCTTTCAGCCGTTAGGACATATTTATATCTAGGCTATATGCAGGGTAGGGCTTTACTTAACAAGAAACACTGCATCCCATGAGGGGAAGACTTACTTGAGCAAGTAACAGCCAGATGTTGGCATGCATGGTCACTACGTTTAGAAGTATTATGGTATAGTATACATGCATATGTCACACATTAAGAATATTTGGGCTCATTAGTGAACAACAACGCTGACTGCACGAAGATGGCTAGAAAAAGGCTTGCTTTAGCAATGTAGAGGCTAAACATCACGAAGAAACGATGGCCTCTGCAAGCGGGATAAAGTAAATACTTTGAGATCATATCGCTTTTCCTTGGCAAATTATGGCTGTGTCATAGACTCTGACTCATTAATGAAAAGGATAGCTTTTGACATTAGATGCTACTGAAGATTCTTCGAATACTGTGGTCCGAAAACATCTAGATCCTGTATGAGTAGAACATCGCGGAGAACAGGTTCACAAACTACATTCTGTCTCGAAAGTTGAGGTAATGTGACTATCTTAAGCGACATGGTGGTTTGGACAGAACGATGATAGAAGATGCTGTTTCCGGAAAACGAGGCAAAGGTCAACCACCGCGAAGATAGATACAACACAATAAAGACGTACCGGCCATGAAAGCACACGAGGCTGAAGAAACGGTTGCAGAAAGAGAGACTTTCAGACATGTAGTGAAGAGAACGACGTTCTGTAAAGGACCAGCTATTTGACGACAATGCTGATATTTGCAATAATGACATTTGACAAACTTGCAGTCTCTGTAATCACTTATGGTTAAAATGTAAGTATCAGAAGTGGATTCTTTCTTGAAGCATTCCTCTGAAAATCTGTAATAATATGCTGCCACTTGCTTTTGTATCTGTATATGTGTGTACACACACACACACACACACACACACACACACACACACATATATATATATATATATATATATATATATATATATATATATATATATATATATATATATATATATATATATATATATATATATATATATGAGTGTGTGTGTGTGTGCGCGCGCGTGCGTGTGTATGTGCGGGTGCGTACACAATTTTTAATGAACTATAGATAAGATAGACTACTCAACATGACTATCACAAATATTTAAAACGTACACTTGAAAAAAAAATGCATTACAGTATTCTCAAACATTGATAATAAAAACGAATTTCTCTCCCTCTTTATGTCTCTTTTTCTCTTCGTTACTCTCATTTTATTCTTTCCGTTTTTTTATACTTCTCTCCCCTTTACCACTCTTTATCTCCACCGTCAGTTGTTTGAGGTTTGATGTTTAGAACAACAGATCAACATCATGGCACACGGATTGTAACCCACAAGTGCTCCGTTCTTCTTCTAACTCAAGTCTGAGTCTAAAGAAGCTCAGCACAGTGCACAGGCTCTGTGGCACCGGCGAGGATCCTGAAATACTTTGAATTGATTTTTAACTCTAAATGTTGCCCAGGCTGCGCCGTTAGGCTACTTTTTTCGATATCTAACCGTCAAGTGATTGTTTAAGTGTGCAAGAATGCACACAGGCGTCCGATCTCACTATCCAGAGACCAAAGGGAATTACAAGAAGTCCAAGACCGCGTAAAGAAATATAGGACTTACCGGGGATTCAACCCGGAGCCTCTAGCACTCGAGGAGGACAGAAGGGATCTAGACCTCTATACCACGCATCCCCTACTATCAGCTGTAGTTGAAATGATACATAAAAAGCAAAATATGGATGTATTTACCCCCAGATAGCCAGAGTTTTTGTAAACTTAATTATTAATTGTGAGTTCTTTGGGTTTGAGGATTTCAGCCTCATAGTTAAGTACATCAACATTCTTGTTGCCGTAGTTACGGGCCACCCGCTGTTTCATGTCTCTGATTGTGTTTGGCATGGGCTGTCCTCTTGTCTCTGGCAATTTGCTGAACAAAATGGCGGACAGGAAGCACATGGCAGAGAATATGATGCCTGGTCCCCATACTACAATCTCAGCCTGTTATTCGGGGAAAACACAACAGTTAACGTTAGCTCTGTATATTTAAACTCATTCATAATACACAAGTAGAAAACTATAATGTGCCAGTAACTTATTGGGTCTTACAGCGATTGCCGATGGGGTATGGATTGCGGGGCTCTCTTAAAAGGGACGCCCATACATAATAAGGAGGTCAACTCTCTACTTCACCATCACACTCCCTAAAACATTTCCACAATATTTCTGGAAAAACATTATGATAACCTTTTAGAGCATGAAACCTAGAACCTAGAGTCTGAGACTTATGTCTACTAAAGGTGCCTGTACTAGAGTCTTTCCTTCCACAGTAATCTTGCTGAAAGGATTAGGGTGTTAATCACTAGAGGTTCACTGACTGGGCAGCAGACGAGGTTAACAAACCTCTTACAGGTGATCTCTAGGCGTTGTGAAAACAAGTTAATTCCCTGTTACCCAGTTCAATTGCAGCTGCTGGCGATTTAGCAGCAAACTGCTTTCGTTGATTTTGACAGTGGTAGATGGAGCCGACAGTTCACTCATCAGTGGCGAACTATTGAAAGCAACATTTCCTGGTAAACTCACAACCAGCCGTCATGTGCTTAAATCTGCAACATCCTATAGTGGATAGGCAGTTAACTTTCTTCTTAAAGAGCATTTCCATGACCGTCACGAGGTCACGTCTGAAGTTCAGCAGCAAGATCTAGTAAAGATAATTTACATATGAATTAATAGTTCAAGATACAACTCTCTGAGTCTTGTCGGGACACAGGAAAACTACAGCCAGATTCACAGAGAGCTATTCAGCTTCAACAAGGATTGGTGGGAGACCCGGACAAGTCTAAAGTCAAGACAAGAAGCAAAAAAATCATCGCATCTAAAGGAGGAACAACTAGGTGATTGGATAAAAGAATGAGAAAAACATAGCAACTTTGTGTACATTGGACAATCATGTCAACAACTGAAATTACGAGACATGTCGTGGATAAGTTGGTGGCAAACACGTCTGAGGTCCGCTCTGTACTCAGCACAATGGATTCGGTTAAAAAGTGACAGTGGAGATGAAGATAAAACAAACAAAACATACTAAGGAAGTTTACAGACTTTTCCCCTTGTATCCTCATCCCGCCCACTCCCCCCTCCCCCAATGATTGATTTTTAAAGATGTAAAAACGGTTAACAAGAGCACAAACATGGACACACCTGGTAATCATAGATCAAGAGCTTCAAAAATACTACCCTAGACAAGTTGTCCTAGCTTAGAGAGGTTTGTCATGTATGTACAGCAAGACGACAACCAGATACGGGGGGATCGCACAATTGGCATGAAGAAGAATGCTTCTGCTCGTTATAATCATACTATCATAAACGGACCTCTCAGGCTACATTTAATTAATTAATTAATTAACACTGTCATAATGTATCACACATTATCACTCACCAGAGACTGAGAATACGGTGAAATCATCCCGCCCAATCTGGCCACACTTGAGCACACTCCAAAGCCAGCGGATCTGTAGAAATACTGTAGTATTAATTTTAACATTAAATACATGCGCTTTGGTCCCACCTTGTCACCGATATTCGCACAGCCCCCCACTTCAAACCCCTCTACCCCCCCCCCCCCTGAACCCGTTTAAGGTAAAAAAGAAAAAGAAAAGAACAATGTGATCGCGTTATTCCTTTCAGAAAATAGTGTCACGACCCATTTTCTCCATTGTTTGCAAATTATTTCATTACGTTGTAATAAGGAAAACTACTAAGAACGTAAATTATTTTTGAGACTCCTAGTGGATGGCAAAAATTATTAATTGTAATGTATGCGTCAATTATTCGTGATTGTGATCGAGGCAAACGTGCAATTTGTCTGAAGCGTACCAAATGAAGAAAGCATGGAAATTTTGAGTAGAGCTGTTGAGTGAACAAGAAAGGCGTTGTTTAAACGTTGAGCAAATCAGAAAGTTCAGTCTTATTTTCAATCTTGAGATAGTCCAGACATGTAGCCCTGGGAAAGTGAAAGCCGAGTGAATCTACAAGCAAGTGGATGTGTGTTCAAGCGTCGACCATGGTTCCAGAGAACCTGGCCATCTTGTTTAACCTGCTACCTGGAATGGCTGAACTTCGTCTGCAGTCTGTGCGAGTGTTTTGAATGCAGCTTGGTGAGATTCAAATTTCCAGCGGTTGAAAGTATTTGATTTGAATTCCCTGTTCAGGTAATGTTCTATATAGTTGTATGCTATACATCATACATTTAGCACATGGGCAGAGGATCATAGTTGGAACAGTAAAACAGAGTTGTTATCAGCTGTTCTGTGTTTTCTCAACGTGTGTATATATTTCAAACGTGATTTGTTGAAATACTTGTCAATGGATGTGAGAAGGCTGCACGATTAGAGCCAATAAAAGTCGTTGCAGTAATACTTGATTATCTGGACTATGATATCATGTCTTTATTTTATTTGCATTTTTGTCTATTTTATATATATATATATATATATATATATATATATATATATATATATATATATATATATATATATATATATATATATATATAGAGAGAGAGAGAGAGAGAGAGAGAGAGAGCACTTGAAAATACTTCTTGTCACTGTCTAAATGGGTTAAATTCTAAGAAAACGAACGACCAGTTTAGCAATTTACTCGCATGGTGTCAGTCCACATCCACATTGAGAAATATTTTGTGCAGCTGTTACAGGTGCCCTAATTACTTCTGTGGAGGTTGATGGGATGTATAAGATTTGTTTGTTGATTTATCATTCAGAATACAATCTTGAAGTCGCAGGGGTCTTCAGGTTTCAGAGAGCGCCCGGAGGAAGAATAAAGTACAGTGACCTCACAATAAACCTATCGGTCGAGAATTCATTGGGAGAAGCGCATGCGCATTCACAATTTTATAACGTTTTTTAACCTAAAAAAAAAAAGCAAGTATAGATTGGCTGCAATATGCAGTAAGTAGTTTTGTTGCACACCAAAGGCGACACTAAAACTAATGGAACTTACCTGAGATTTGTAGGAAACAACTCTGGCGTGTACATGAACAAACTGTTGAAGCTGGCACCAATACCCAGCTTTCCAACACATGAAAAGACAACAGACAGCGTGCTGGTGATCTGTGTGGAGCCTAGCCAGGAAAAACCAAAATACAAATACATCTGAGTTTTTCTGACTGAACGCATTCATAAAATAAAATGTTGTTGTTGTTGCTGTTTTGCACGAAAATTTAGTGATGGCGCTTGGAATTTGAACAGTTGGCCTGCAAATTACTCCAGCCTTTCGGCTGACGACACAAGTTCTGTGTCGGCTTGTATGATGATTAGCTTCAAATGGTACTAGTATGGAGACTAAATAAAATATTGTTACCAAAGAAAAAAAAAGAAAAAAAAGATCATATGAAGAATGTATCAACGGTGATGGAGAAACAATGGAATTAGTGGACACCATACATGGAATATTTTCTTGGTTTGGTCACAATGTATGACAACATTATGTCATGAAACATGAGATGAATGCGATGTTAAAGAAGGAACAGCGGTAGGAACAAGATGAGAATGAAGAACTAAGAACAACGGTAGGTACAGTTCCCGTGACCGATGTCACAGAAGATAAAAAGCAATTGCTTTGATCGCCAGGTCAGAATGGACCAAAATCAGCCAGGAGTTATATCGTACTATGAAAGAGATGGGTGGAGACAGTAAAGGAGACAGAACAGAAACGCAGTATGACATCAACACAAGACAACACACTAAGCACAACACAGGAAACTACACACAACTGAACACATTTCTGCGACGCTATGCATCATAACCATAAAACCATAACATGATACTTTCCCATGCCAAGCTCAAGAAAATAGCTGATATTAGGCGACAGGAGTTTTGGAAATTGAATGACAATTAACAAAAAATTATTTAAAAACAAATAGTTTATACATATTGGGGCACTGATAAATGGGTGGTTGGTGGGGGGGGGGGGGGTGGCGTTCTGCTCAAACCCTAACAGGTTTTCTAGAAGCTGGCTAAATGGGCCCATGCATGGGCGATATGTTTAATAATAATAATTAAAACCCTGACCGGCATATAGATACAATAATGCATTTGAAATAAAATAGATATTGATAAAAACTTAGAAGACTACACATTCTGTACATGTTGTCTCGTTGAGCCTATACCCTCGTATTATCAGAATGATCAGTTGTAATGGTAATCTAGACACGTTCTTACCAAAAGCCATGAGCATGGTTGCTGTGAAAAGGCCAGTGCCGGCGATGACCAGCCATCCCATGATTATTGGTTTTCGGCCATAGCTGTAGACATGAAATCAATTTATTTCAAAACACGTTTAACATGTTTGTGCAATGTGGCGTATTTTCACACGTGGAGTCCCTGATTAAGTAAGTAGGGGGAAATCTTGACAAACAACAGAAAACCTAGAGAAGCTAAATACTAGGAGAAAACGAGGGTTTTAAGGAGGGAAGAACAACCACGTGTTGCCACGGGGAACCCAACACCTGGCTATGAGATCAGACCACGTTCTCATTAAACAGTATGTGTTTGCCAGTTGGAGTAAGAGGACGTGTTTGTGATTCCGTAGTTCCAGTTTGTGTGAAAGAAAAATGACAAACTTTTGGCGACGTGTAACCAGCTCCTATCTGAGCGTCGGTTATTTTGTCGGCCGGGTTTCCTGGTTGGTTATCCTTTGTTTGGGTCTTCCTTTGTGGTGTGTAATCACACCTGTTTTGTGTTTTTGTTTGCCGCTGTCCTTGCTTGCCGTTTCCTTTGCCTTTCTTCCATGTCTTTTTTGCGTTTTTTTGTTTCCTTCCTTTTTTGTGGTTTTAGCCTGATCTTGTGTGGTTCACTCTGGTTCTTGTCCCTGTGGGTATTCGCTTGATTGTAGCTGGTGCTCTGTCTTTGCCGTGCTGGTAGCTGTGCTAGTGCCACTGCCGCTTTGGTAAGCCCCGGGAAAAAGCCAAACAAACAAGAGCCAGTCAGCTCCGTCTCCAAAAACAATGTTCCCTTTCAGGACAACCAGGGCCGTCACAATCTGTTGTTGTGATCGGCCCAAAAAAAAAAAAAAATTTTTTTTTTTTTTTTAAAGAAATAGTGGATGTAACACAGAAGTTGCAAAAAAAAAAAGGAATGCTTGAATGTTCCAGAAGATTGGTATAGTTAGGTCGGTAGAGTAAGATAGATGGATAGCTTGCTAGGAGAAGAAGAGAATCCATGCTGGTCCGTCGTCTTGCTGGGGTGGTTTCCTGAGTCAGAGTCCCTGGGGATAGGGGGGTGTAGCTCTCTGACCTGAAATGAGCCTCGTCGTTACCTGGCTTATTTTGGAGCCTTTGAGGTACTGGTTCAGGGGAGATAATTTGACCTAAAACTGGCATTCTTGAGTGGTGTCCCCTTTTTTTGTGCCTCGGAATGTCATGTTGGCCTTGGGCCGTTGTCGTTGTCTTGTTTTGACCACGTGTTCGTTTATCTGGTGGGTTTTGTGTTAAGTTAGTTTCAAGCGTTTGTAGTTAATGGCCAGCCTGTTTTGGCCCTCAGGTTTGGGGGGGGGGGGGGGGAGAGGGGGATGGGGTTTGTGAGCCGTCTGTCGCAGTGATACCTCGCTTCGGGGTGTTGTTTGTTCTGCAAAGATACTGCTTCACCAGCCTCTGTATTTCTGGCTCGCTGTCGACATGCAGACAGCTCTCGTAAGTTACTGGAATATTTATTTTTCGGTGGTGGTTGATTATGTCACTTCTTTGCGGGGCATATTTTTTGCATGTCAGTAGGTAGTGTTCTATTGAGTTCTCTATGCCACACTCATGACACATGGGGTTTGTAAACTGTTCTGGCCAGTAACCCAGCCTTAGTTTCCATATTAGGTTGTTCGCTGGTATTTTAGTTGGTTCTTTTATTTGTGTTTGGTTTCTTGGTTGTCTCAGTGTTTTGTGGGCTCTTCGGCCTTTGGGACATTGATTCCATTGTGCTGCCCACGTCTGAGTTATGTTTAGTTTTATGTAGGCTTTCACTTCCGTCTTGCCCAGGCCGGTTTCTATTAACTTGTTGCTGTTAATTCCCCTCTTGGCTGCGCCGTCCGCCATTTCGTTGCCCGCGATGCCTCTGTGGGCGGGGATCCAGGCTATTGTTACTTGGCATCCCATGTTTCTGATGTTAGTTGCCGCTGCTATAATTTCTTCTTTTATGTCAGGTCTGCTAACTTTGCCTAAATCTCTTAGTGACAGGGCGGCCGCAAGGGAGTCGGTGAGGATGTGTAGTTTAATCGGCGGGTGCACACTGGCTGTTTCTATAGCTTTTAGTATGCCCACTAGTTCGGCCGTGCAGATTGAAGTGTCTTTGGTTATTTTATATTCTTGTACATTATTCCATGTTGGGACGTAGACTCCTGCTCCCACTTCGCCCTTCTGGTTCTTTGAGCCGTCTGTGTATATTATTAGGCTGTCCACCTCTATTTTGGAAATGTACTCTTCCGTTATCTGTCTCGCCTCGGCGTCCTCGGTGAGTTTATTAATTTTATTGGTCAAGTTAGTGTCGACCCACGGGGGTTTGAGTTCCCATGGGGGGATGGTGGCGGTGTATTTTCTTTTGTTGTGTATTATCGTTTCAATTTCGTGCCCTTGGATTGCCCTGGCTATTTCCCACGCGTTTGGTTCCTGGAATGTTTGTCGCCGTTTACCTTTCCAGGGGTAGTGGTTCTCGTTTAGGGCCTGTCTGGCTGGGTGGGTGGGGTCTGGGGCTGCTTGGAGCCAGTAGTTGAGGGAAAGTTGTCTTCTTCGTAGGCTCAGGGGGGCTATGCCGAGGGCCACTTCCATAGCATCGGTGCTTGTGCCTCTCCCTGTTCCTATTATTGTTGCTAGTGCTTGATGTTGAATGGAGTCTAGCGTTGCTTTCTTAGCCTCTGGGGCAGCGTCGTACACTTGAGCTCCGTATTCCATTTTACCGCGGACGATCGCTTTGTAGATTGTGGTCATCGTTTTGGTATGGGCGCCCCACCCGGTACCTTTGATTACTTTGAGTATGTTGCAGGCGCTTCTGCATTTCTCCCTTGTTAGGTCAATGTGCCTGTTCCAACTCAGCTGTTGATCTAGTTCCATCCCCAAAAATCTTGTGTGCTTCTGCATATTCACTACTTGACCGTTTATCCTCAGTCTATCAGAGTGTCTGTCATATTGTTGGTGCTTGTAGTTGAAAATCATCCCCACCGATTTAGCTGCGTTGACTCTAAACCCCCACTGGTTTAGCCAGCTGGTTACGTGGTTCAGCTCCCTTTGAAGCTGGTTGCGGGTGGCTGTGTTTTTTTTCCCGCTTTTCCATATGGCACAGTCGTCTGCGAATTGTGATAGACCGACGTCTTTGTCTATTATGGCCTCATTCAGATCATTTATGAGTATATTGAATATCAAAGGCGAGATCACCGCTCCCTGAGGAATGCCGTTCTCTTGGATGCGTGTGGTTGACACTTCATTTTTAACCGCAACCTCAAACGTCCTGTCTTGCAGGAAACTGCTTACGTAATTAAGTGTTCTGCCTTTGAAACCGATTTTTTCCATTTTCAACAGCGCCGCCTCTCTCCAGCAAAGATCGTATGCCTGGGCCAGGTCCAGAAAGACCGCTATTGTTTTCTGTCCACCTCTGAATCCCCTTTTGACGTGGTCTTCTAATTTTATTATCTGGTCTAGTGTCGAACGGTTGTTTCGGAACCCCGACTGTGTAATGCTCAGTAGGTTGTTTTTTTCCAGGTGGAAAGTCATTCGCTTTTTAATTATCGTTTCAAGTATTTTGCCTAAATGAGAAGTTAATGAGATGGGGCGATACGACTCTGCTTTCTGTGGGTCTTTTCCTGTTTTTAGAATCGGGATGACGACCGCCCTTTTCCACAGTTTTGGGATGTATCCTTCTTTCCAAATTATATTGTACAAGTTCGTGATGACGTTTAAACTACTGGGGGGTAACATTTTGATTATAGCGTAGTTCAATATGTCCGCCCCTGCGGCCGTATTAGATTTTTCCCCCACCGCCGCGACAACTTCCTCCGCTGTGATCTCCGCGTCTAGATAGTGTTCGCCACTGCCCCCCTCCCCCTTTGGTCGATTATCTTTTAAGAAGCGATTTCTTCTGTCTGTCTCACCCGCTACTAGGCTGGCATTTGAACTGACTTTATGGAAATATTTCCCAAAAAGTTCTGCTTTTTCCTTGTCTGTTATTGCTAGTTCTGGGTCTTTGATAGTGGGGATATTTATCGCTTTTTTGGTACCTTGAATTGCCTTAATTTTCCTCCAGACTGTGGTAGCGGGGGTTTCGGGATTTAGCGTTTGGCAGAAAGATCTCCAGTGTGCCTGTTTGGCTTTTAGTACTGCCCTATTTGCCTCATTTCTATGTTTCTTGTAAATTTCGTAGTTCGCGTCTGTTCTGTACCTTCTGTATCTTTGTAGGGCCGCTTTTCTGGCCTGAATTGCTACCGAGCAGTAGTTGACCCACCATCCTACCTGGTTTTTATTCGATTTTTTGTCAACGGTTGGTTTTCTCTGGTTATTGCCTGTGATAGTGACTGGTAGGTTTTTATTTGGTATGTGATTGATGGCTATGCGTAGGATGGTGTTTGTGATCCGTTCTGCATAGCTGTCTATCCCTTCATCCTCCCCCCTCACTACCTGCGTGTTGTTCATTTCTGCCTGGAATTCGCCCCAGTTAGCCTTTTGTAGGTTGAACTGTGGTCGACTGCTAACTTCCTGGGTCAGCGCTCTATTGTGTGTATTGATTGTTATCGGGAGATGGTCCGTGGAACTGTCGGCGGCTATCGTCCACTGGCTGCTCGCTAGCTCAGGTGTGGCTATTGTTAAGTCAATGGCGGAGTCCCTGCCTCTTGGAGAGGGGTTTATTCTGGTGAATGAACCGTCATTTAGAATTGTTAGTTGGTTGTCTTCCACGAACTGCATGATTGTTTTGCCCGCCAAGTTGGTTTTTAGGCTTCCCCACGCTTCGTGGTGGCTGTTCAGGTCACCGAGAATCAGCATGTTGTCTCGTAGTCTCACTTGTATAGCTTCTACCTCCTCTTTTTCTATCCTGCCGTGTGGACAATAGATGTTCATTACGCTAATATTACGGCTTCGTCCGGCTATTGTGACTAAAATACCCTCGAAATGTTTGGTGGTGAATATTTCTTGGTGAGTGATTTTAAGTTTAGTGCTAACTAGCGTCGCCACTCCGCCACCCGTTTTCCCTGTCGGCCTATCGTATCGTATTACTGTGAAGCCGCGACACGTATATTTCTCGTCTTTTTTTAATAATGTTTCCTGCAGGGCAAATATGTTGTTCTCACTTCCCAGTGTTTTCATGACAGCTGGGAGGTTTTTCTTGATACCTCTGCAGTTGAATTGGGTTATCTGAATGTTATCTGTATTGTCGTTCCCCATTACTGTTGTTGTTTCACTTACTGGGTTTCTGTGTGTTTTCTAGTTATTTATTCAGTTTCTTGTGAGTTTTCGGTTTGGCTGTCGCAGTCGGATTGTCCGCTGCTGATGGTGCTCGTGTCGGTGGACGAATCCTCCTCTTCGGTTACCGAGCGGTGGGATTTCCCCAGATGCCTAACAATGGCTTTCTCCATGAACTCGCTGATCTTGTCGTCTATTGTGGAGAATAGCCTATTGTATATTTCCTGCATCTGATTGGCGGTTAAGTTTGGGGTTTGGGGCAATTCTTGTTGATTCGCGTTGCCTTTGTTCGTATTGTTGTGTTTCTGTGTCTTTGCGGTCTGTGCCGTTGGACTCACAACTGGGGGGTCCGTTTTTGTTTCTGCCTTGGTATTAGTTACCCTTGGCTGCAGCTCTTTTTTGAGTTCATTTATTTCCTTAATGCTCTCTTGGTACTTGAGCATTAATGTTGAGACGGAGTCTCGCATTTGTTTAATCTCCTCTTTCAGATCCTTTTCTCTTTTAAAGTTTCTTTGTTTTTCTGCTGACAGGTCTTTCATGAGCTTCTCTATTGCTGCCTTATCCTCCTTTCGATCGTCTGGTGTTGTGTGGCTGCTAGCTGAACTTTGGTTGTTCGCCCAGGCCGTGACGCATTTCGACACCGACTTATTGACGGTTCTAATTTCGGAAGCTAGTTCCTTAGGAGATATCGGCTGGCTCTGTAGGAATTTTACTACTTTTACAGGTGTTTTTGTGAGATTGGCTTCTCTCCATATTAGCTGAGCCTCCTTGCGTTTTATGCAGCCTTCATATCTCGCGCCGTGGTTTCCTTGGCAGTTGGCACATTTTCTGGCCGAATTCTTTTTCGTGTAGTCAACATCTTTTGCTTTTTGGCATTCTTTGAAGTGGTGATTCTCGCTACAAAAACGACACCTTTGTTGTTTGTTCCAGCAGATTTTATGGCTGTGCCCAAATTGTAAACAAAGAAGGCACTGCAGTAGAGGTGGGATAAAGGCCTCGCAGTAGCGTGGTCTGCTGTTTAGGTAGACTCGCGTGGGAGCTTCTTTTCCCGCCACCGTCATTTTTACGATGCTAGTGGGTTGACCGCTACGTTTTCTAATCCGTTCCGCCCCGATGAACTCCCATTGAGAGTTTTCAGCCCGCATTGAGGCCATGACCTCCTTGTCATCCTTAGTTGGGGGAATCCCCTTTACTGCAATGACTGTGTGAGGTTTCTTGATCTGAAGGTTGACTTCAATATCGTGTGGCAGTTGTTTTAATATGCCACCCACGGTGGTCTCTATCTTCGTAATCATGTCCTCAGTGATCTCGTTCCTGCTGACATTTATGTAGCCTTCTTTGGACTCTTTATGTATCTTGAAAGACACTATCGATTTTTTACTTAGGCCTAGGCTGGTGGTTATCATGTCCCTAGCTACATTGTAATCGGCTGAGAACAGTGATAGTTGGGAATGTTTCGTCTGTTTAATTTTGATTGTGGTGACCTCTGTCCGTCTTATCACTGGTTTTTCCTTGTTCGCGGGTAAACCTACCTCGCTTCCCTGTCCTGTTTTGTCTTGTTTATCTAGCTGGGGGGCTATTTCGTTTTCTATTGTCTCTACTGATATAATGGGGGCCGGCACCATGGGCACCTCCACCTCCTTTTCTCTGTTTTTGTTTTCATCTGGATCTTTTTCCTTCTGTTTGTCCTCATTGATGGTTGGGTGGTACCCTTTCGAAGCCGCTCCCTTGACTGTGGGCGCGGTTGTGTGGACGGCCTTTCGCTCGTATCTTGTTTCGAATTTGCCCCGGTGGTTCATTTTGGAGGTCATTCCTGACTTCGGTGGGGTGGTCCTGACCGCTTTCTCGCTAGGGGTGCTAGCTCTCCCCTTCCCCGCCGGTTTCTCTGTGTTAGGCTCAGGTTCGCGCGATCCGCTTCTCAGTGCCGGGGGCATTGTAATTGAACTGTGGGTCGGTGTTATTTATGATCTCTTGTGTTTATCGAGCGGCCTATCTCGCGGTTTAGATTTGTGAGATAAACTATACTTACATGTGGCGCAGCTCCTTCTTCTGATGTTTCTGCTCGGTATTTTTCAGTATACCGAGTCTTCTTTGTTGTCCCTGGTTTTCTTCTTTAAAGGTCGTTTTGTTGGCAGCTAACCAAGCCTGACCAATCAGCCGTATCAGTTCAGCGATCAAATGGCTTTCCTCAGTTAGCCGGCCGGACAGATCAGCCGTAAAGGTTCTTAGCGATCTATGTCCTGACTTGGACTAACTGATTCAGACAGTTCGAGCCGAATAGATACAGTGATGCAGTCTGGTTGGAACGCAAGCCTAGCTTAACGATCAGTTGACTGTATAATAAGCGAGGCAAAAACTCTCGACTTATGGTTGTGAGGCGAAACTCACAATTTACTTCGGATAGGTCTCAGTTTCAACAAGTGAATGTTTAGCTGTGACTATCTGTTTGCGGGCCAAAAATTCAAGCGAGACTTTTTTGCGAGGTGCGTGCGGCTTGGCAGTCAGCGCAGGAATGGAAGGTGATTCCGTATGAATGTAAAGAATACTTGACGACGAAAGAGTATACTTCAAGAGGACAGTTCGAACATAATCTTCAACAACGAACCAGCAACGCATATAATCAACAGCTACTACTCAGAGTTAGCGGCGAGAGACCACGAGGGAAACCGCTAAAGTCACTTGTCCAGAGATGTGGCGTGGAAGATGTAACACTGGCACGTGCTTGTATGTGAATGCTCTGAGTGTTGACGTCTGAATAGGGTGCGATTTAATGTTGGATTTAGTAAAGTTCGCCTGAAATAAGTTGTATATATCAGTAATTTTGTCTCTTGTATAAATTTCACTTTCGTTGTTAGTTCATTCAGTGGTCTATAGAGTTTACGTTCCACTGTTGTTCTTTCTGGCCAAAAGGTTTGCATTATTGTCAAAATTCGGTGCAGTTCTGGAGTGCATGCTCTGCTGTCTGGCGCACCTTTCTACAGGTGCACATGGCTTATACGCCTATCTTGAATTGTGTGTAATTTTAGTTACGTAATCGGTTGTGCCCTGTTCTGAGGTGGAAGAAAATGACTTTTTCTGGTCTGTCCATAATAAAATAGTCGACTTGTGCTGGGGCTGGTGGTTTCCTGATCGATTTAATGATTATTTTCTTTTGGTGGTATGTGACTGGTACATCCGGCTGCTCTTTTGTCGCACCTTCCCCTGTCAGTTGATCAGCTTTCACATTTCCAGGCACTCCACAATGAGACAGTATCCACTGCATTACGACTCTTCGCTGAAGGCTGAGCTGTGTAGGGACAAGGACTGGACATCCGGATATGTGCATTATTGTCAATAAACAATGTTATCTTGCAGCTGTCTCCTTTGTTTATAACATCGGTGCATTGTTAGTTGTAACATCTGTTAGAGAGCACCCCTAGACAACAGCCAGAGATCCAAGCAAAGGATTATTGCAGTTTGCTATAGGTGGCATCTCGTGCATATGAAAAATATAAGGTCTTGATTAATCAGGTGCAGTCGCCACAGTGAAGGTTGACTGAAACTGTTTTACAACATTTTTTGTTTCTTGCCTCGCCGTACCTTGCCAAATGACAGTCCAGACTTGGCTGCTTGTCAACTGACATTGCTGTCTGACTTTTTGTTCAACATTCTTCTTCTGACTGGACTTTTCATTCAGTGTAAACATCGCATGTTCTTTGTTTCTTTTTCGGTACTATAGTCTACATTCTTATTAATCCCCTTCTGTCGCCCCGTAGTTACAAGTATTCTTTTCGGGCTAAGTTGTTTTATCTCCTTTTCGTTCTCTCTCTCTCTCTCTCTCAGTCTCTCTCTCTCTCTTTCGCTCTCTCTCTCTATCTCTCTCTCTATAAATATATATATATATTACTGAGATTGCTTGCATGCAACCTATTTTTTAAAATGGAGCAATAAAGAACTGAAACAAACTAGTCAAACTGGTAGCACACAGTGGTGTACTCACAATGCAAACAGGAATAGATTCAATATGTCGGCCGGCAAGTCCGACAAACCCAACAGGATGAAGTTTAGGTAACGATTTCCCGCCAATGATGCAGACGTCAGAAACAAGCCGTAATAAGTTGTGGAGTTTGTAATCCTGCAAACACAGGGAAACCATAGAATTTAAGTGATCCTTCTGATCTGTCTTTTTTCTGTTTCTGCCTTCCACTTGTACCTCAATGAAGTGTCGGGTGGAGATGTAACGTTCGTTGATGAGCTCTGTCAAGAGCACTATTAAGACTGATGTTCATTTCTACAATGCTCTTCTTAATGCCATCACTCCATATTTCCGAGGTCTTTCACTAGCTCTAAACCTGTTGTAACGTTTCAGTGTGGTTGTCTGTAGTAAATAGTACCAGGGCATTTTTATTAGGTGTCCAAACCACTTCATTCATTGTTCTTTGATGACCTGTAAGACTGGCTTTGTTCCTAGCATTCGTCTGTTTTCCTTCTGTCGGGTTTTCCCTCGAACTCTAGAACTATCATAGTACTCCAGTTTTCTCTTTCTCATAACGTGACCATTATTGTAGATTATCTACTCTGGATTGAGGAAATCATTTCTCTTCTGGAGCTAATTTCTTTAGAGACATCTTCATTGTTTTTTTTTTCCTGTCCAGGATGTTCTCATCATTTGTCGATGAAACAACATCTGTTGCCTCCACATAATTTACCTCTTATATCTACATCTCTCTTGCCTCCTCATAATTTATCCCTAATACCCACATCTCTGTTGCCTCCACATAATTTATCGCTAACATCGACATGTCTGTTGCCTGAATATAATTTATCGCTAATATCACATCTCTATTACCTCCACATAATTTATCACTAACATCGACATGTCTGTTGCCTGAATATAATTTATCGCTAATATCACATCTCTATTGCCTCCACATAATTTATCACTAATATCCACATCTCATTTGTCTCCTCATAATTTATCGCTAACATCCACATCTCTGTTGCCTCCACATAATTTATCACGAATCGGCTAACTGTTTAAGATTCTTCTTGATCCTCTTCTTTACTCTCAGCGTCAGGGCGGAAAGAGATCTCTGGAACGGTCTTTATTGTTCGCTTCGTAAAAAAAAAAAAAAAAATACTTTTCGGTGTCTGTGATATTTCTGCGGTCCATATGGATGACCTCTTGCTCTGTTACAGTTGTATCTGTATAACATTGCTCTCTGTGGTGTCCTGTCTGATGCCAATCTTCTTACATGGCCTATTTTATTTCTTGTTCACCTATAAAGTTCAGTTTTAGTTGCGTGTCGACTCTCCTCCTGATATCATCATTGCTAAGTCGATCTTTTCTCCTTACACCCAGCATAGTAAGTAAACTTTTCATTTCTGTCGTGACTATTTTCCTTTTGTCTTCTGAAGACAGTGTCTATGTTAGACATTGATATCATACTACTGTATAACAGTTTTCATTTTTTTTTTAAAGAAAAGTTTTTGATGTTTTTTCTATTTTTTTTTATAAGCATATGCACTGAATAAATAATGCCCAACAGCAAGCTAAAGATGTCTTATATGAAGCCATACAAGTTTGCAGGACGAATAGATTTACTAGTGATGACAGTCAGGCCCATCAGAAAGGATCATCATACTTACCCGGAGGACATTGGCTCATTTAAGCCTAGTGAGTCAGTTATTTTTTTTTTTTTTTAATTTGTCGGACATCTTTGATCAAATTGAGTGATTGTAGCTGATTTTATTTAGAATGCCCACCAACTAATATTCATTTCATACAATGAAAGCATTTCTAACAAAGAGATGTAAGAGAGCGGAGATTAGGGTGAGAGACAAGAGAGGCTTACCAGACAAACCACATAATTAGAGCTGACACAAACAAGGATCTATGGCGGACGATGTCAAGCAAGCTGTACCGCTCCACTTGGGATCTTATAGTACTTAATGCTTCCTGTTTGGACACGTAAGAGAGAATGTGGGTTTCATCGAAGCTACAACTACAGCACGTTCACACACACACACACACACACACACACACACACACACACACACACACACACACACACACACATATATATATATATATATATTTATATAATGCGTGTGTGGGTTTTTTTTTTTTTTTAATTTTTTTTTAATACTAATCAAATGTATAATTTGATTTGCATGTACACCTTTATCTCGACTTACTACCTATGCGGCTTACCAACACATACAATTAGGCTCACCAAAAAAAAAAAAAAAAATATATATATATCAAAAGATAATTTTATTAGTAGGGTAAAAATGTTCCCAGAACTAATGCATAGAGTGCAACAAGATCTAATTATACGTACATAAACTGACTTTTTGTGTTTTTCGTATAATTTGTGAAACCTGTTTGATTGTACCATTCATTAGAAAACGATCAACCACACACACGGATGAGAATCTTTGTGGTTCTCTACGGGGTGATTTTAGTGTATACAAACATACACACATATACATCATCATCAGGTGACTTGCCGAATGGCGTGGGCGATCATGCCTCTCCATAATCTGCGATCTCCTGCAGCATGTATCAGTTCGTGTGCTGACACACCTCCATGCCATGCAACAAGACTGTCAAGCATCTTCTCTCGTTGTCTTCCTCTATCTCTCCTTCCACATATCTTTCCAGTGGTCACAACATGTTCTTTTTTTCCCTCTTCTCATAACATGGCCAAAAAATGATGACTGTCTCCCTCTGATGTCCGTGATAAGTTATCTTCGGGGTTCTTTCAAAACCTCTTTTTGGCTGTCCAAGGTATTTTAAGCATTCTTCTGTAAAACCACCTCTCTGAGGCCTCCAGAAATGGTTTGGCCTGCCTACCGATTGTCCAGGATTCACAGCCATATGTTAAAACTGGATGTATGTAGCAACCAAGAATTCTTTTTTTTAACTCTCAATGACAAGGATATATTGCACCAGATGTTTTTCATTTGATAAAATGCAGTTTTTGCCTGTCCTATTCTGTTTCTTATCTCAGTTATGCATCTTCCATCTGATGTAATCCATGTGCCCAGATACTTAAATTTCTGTACTTGTCCTAAAATGATACCATCAACTTGTATTACACACTTAGGAATAATTTGTTTCTTTGATCCCACCATTACTTCTGTCTTCCCATTATTTAAACTGAGGCCCATTCTTCCACTTTCTAACACCACAATTTCTATCATTTCCTGTAGTTCTTTCTGACTTGTTGCTATCAAGACTGTGTCATCAGCATAACGTAAATTGTTTCTATTGTGCCCACCAACCACAATTCCTAGCATATCAATTAAAGCTCTCATTATATATTCACTGTATATTGAAAACAAATCAGGTGACAGTACACATCCTTGTCGTACTCCCCTCTTTATGCTTTGAAATGTACCTAAACAGTTTCTTATAGCTGCTGTTTGCTGCCAATACATATTCTTTATTATTCGTAGATCTTTCCCATCAAAGTTTAATTTTTCTAACAGTTTGATTAATTCTTCATGCTTCACACGGTCAAATACTTTTGTATAGTCTATGAAGAATAAGTCCAAATCAGTCTTTACTTCTATACTCTTTCTGACAATGTCCTTAGGATGCATATGGCATTGTTTGTACCTTCTCCTTTTCACACACACACACACACACACACACACACACACACACACACACATATATATATATATATATATATATATATATATATATATATATATATAATATTTATGTGTGTGTATATATATATATATACTTATTTATGTATATATATATATATATATATATATATATATATATATATATATATATATATATATATATATACATATTTGTGTGTGTGTGTGTGTGGATGTATACACTCGTGCACATTGGTGACGGTCTGAAAAAAGGATTTGCAACTGACATCTGTAATGACCAATATAACCTCCCCCCCCCCCCCCCCACACCACAAAGGTCACGTAGAAGCAGTTCTGTGTTCTACATCTGCCTTTATAGCCGCCAGTGGAGCATAGGCGCTCAAATATCTCATGCCACTTCGTTCTATCCTTCGCTATCGCATGCAACAATCCCCATGTCCTCCCCATCTTTTTAACTTCACAGTCTAGTTTCCTTCTCCTGTGGTTGTAGGGTATTGTGGTGCCTCATTATAACTGTGCTATATGGCTATACGGTTAAACGGGCCTTCCGGAAAAAAAAAAACATGTTTGATTCTCGTCCTTGAAATGTTAATCCTACAGAGTGCAACTCTGAAGGGAAACAGTAAAAAAAAAAAAAAAAAAAACAGAACGAACCAGATCAACTTCTAAACAATTTGTAACTGAATCACCCAACTACCAAAACAAAATAAAGATCGTTTGCTTTTTCGTATCAGAAAATGTCATAGCTTATCATGGAATAATGAGCAGCAAGTGATAAACATAAGAAATATAAAACATAATTTTTGAAAATACAAGCAATGGGGTTTACAATTGGTTAGGTACAAGTAGCACAACTGTCCCTATTACTTGTATTTAAATAGTAAGTAAACAGACAATGCATTGACGGGCCCTCTCGAGAGTTCGTGTTCCACAGGTTTTTTAAATATCCCTATCCCTAGCCGAGGATTGAAATGAAGTCTCCCTCGTGAGATCTTAATACCCTATCCAAAAGAAATATATTTATGTCATGAGCAGTTAACATTTGAGAGCCCTGGAAAGAGTTGGGAAAAGCACCGAGACTTGGGTTTCAATATTACCTTGAAAACCACGCGATGATGTTGATGACGGTGATAATGATAATTATGCTGATGATGAAGATGCAGCTACCTACCAGTTCCTTTGCTTCTTGTGGTTGTATCACATGACGTTCGTACACAGCTTTAACCTTCTGGTAATCTCTCTTGTTTACCCGGCATGCTTGTCTGATAATCTCCTAGAGTCTGGGCGTACTTTTTGTTTGCACTTAACCAACGAGGTGATTCATACAGGAAGCTGAAATGTACCGTTAATGCGATGTAATTAATGTTCTTCCTGTGCAGTGTTAACCAGCTATTACAACCGCCACTAGAACAAGGCGGTATCCTCGAGCAGGGGTGGGGAAGGGGGACCGGCAGGAATAGTTTTTCTAGCTACGCCGGGAAAACTGTCAACTGCTTAAAAAATGTGTAAAATCACTTCTGAAAAATCGCGTGTTTTAAATGAGTGTTTAACCATTTCATCTAAATTTCAATTCATTATTGTGTTTCATTCCCATTGTGCACATAATAATTATTATCCTGGAATAATATGAATATAATTAGTAATAATATTATGCACTTAAACAAGGTGTATGCTCATTGAGCTTCACCGAAGTTATAAAATTGGTAAGGGGTCTATCTAATTGACCCCCATACCCCTTGTTCTGTTTTCAATGTTTTGTGTGTGCCATGCGACCCAGTCTCTGACATTGACTGAATTATATAAGGCACAATTTCTTAACCGTCAGTGCTTCTAGCATTCACTTTCATATTTATGTTTTACTCAGTCACCGAACAAGAAGAAATTAAGATTTTGAAATGTCATAAAATTTCTAAGAATACCATGGACCTAGAAGAAAAATGCTATCGACCTCCTATATGATCTGCACATTGAAGAAAACTGGCTAGTAAAAAACATCCTCTCAAGAAAACTTGGGGTATGTTGGCCATGTTAAACGCCATGTTGGCTGAAGAGAACGGTAATGGAGGAAACGGTTTATGGAAATCAAGACAAAAGCAGACCTCCCCAAAGGTGGTGGACACAGGCATAGACAATGTACAGGCTATGATCGCACGTAGGGTTTGAGAACTGGCTAGGAAAAAAAAAAAAACTTTCAGGTGTGTCGTGAGGAGTGCCACGTTCTGTAAAGAACCATCTGACTGATGACGATGCTATGTTTACTTAAGGCAAAGGAACTTTTCATCTTTGCTGTGTTTAACTCTCATGGTTAATGCGGTATGTATAAAGAAGTGAGAGCTGGATAAACATGGTATATTTAAAAGCACTTAATTTACATTGCGAAATTATCGAAGAATTTTGTATTTTCAATTAAAATGATATGGCCAAACCATTTCACCTGTCTTTTGATAAATTCCAGAGCTGCGGTTACTCCCATATTCCTTAGGAGTTCATCGTTTAGGATCGTATCGCTTCTTTTTATATTTAGTGTACTACACAGAAATCTCATTTCGGCTGTTGTAATTTTTCTTTTTCTGTTCTCTGTTTTTGTCTAGGTCTGGCACTGATAACACAGGGTTGGCGAAAATATTACGTTAATAGAGTCCTCGTTTTGGTTTCTACTAATACATGTTTGTTTCTTAGTATTAGTGTTTTTTGCTCAATGAGATGGTTTACTTTGTGACATCGGTCATCAGTCTCATCTTCAGCTGATGATATTATGCTTCCTAAGTATTTGAAGTTCTTGGTTTATTTCAGACAGTGTTCTGTAAGCTGGATGTTTATTGCTTTGTCTTCTCTGGCTATGGTAATGAGCTCTGTTTTGTTTGCCCTAATTTTCATATTTTGCTGTTTGCGAATTTGGTTTTAATAATGTATATGGTCTTGCAGTTCAGTTTCTGAAGTAGCAGTTAGAGCGTGGTCGCCCGCAAAAGCAGTTATTTGATAGAAACGTTCGGATATGGATCTTCTTCCCTTGGTATGTTCTAGTCTTTGTCTGGTTGGTGTCTCTACAGATGTTATCAATGAAAGTTATGAAAAGAACGGGAGACAGGACACAGCCCTGCGGTACTCCAGATTTCATTGTGAATGGTTCTGAGTGTCCTGTTTGTTCTAACAATACATTCACTGTTGTTTTACAAGCTTTTACATATGCTTACTAAATCACGATCACATCATAACTTTTCAAGATTCTCTATAGTTAGTTACTATTCACTCCGTCAAATGCTTTTTCTTGGTCGACGAACGCTAAATAGAGTGTTTCGTTAAATTCAGTTGATTTCTCTTTAAGTGGCCGGAGAGTAAAGATTGGGTCTGTGCATACCGGGTTTTTCCGAAATTCCTAGTTGCACTTCACTTAGCTTGGGCTCAGTTACAGGTCGTAGTCTGTTCTCCTGAATTTTGCAGAATATTCTCCTGGTGTGACTCAACAGGGACTTGCCTCAGTACTGTGTGCAATCTCTTTTACTGCATTTTTTTTTTTTTTCAATTTGGAATTGGTTAAACAACCTGTGCAGCCATGCTATTCCCACTTCGCTTGCAGCTTGAAAAAAGTTCATTTGGAATTTCACTTGGTCTTTGTGCTTTATGCACTGGTGCACTCTGATAGCTTCCCTAATCTTTCACTATGTCAGGTTGAAGTTCCTCGATAGTGTTGACTGCAGTGTCTTGAGCTTCTTTGGCGTCAGATGATGTATTGAGAAGTTGTTTGAAATACTGCCTTCATCTTTCTATAAATTGTTTCAGTTCACTTATTGGTTCTCCTTTGTCACTATTGATTTTTGCAATTGCATCATAGGAATCTAATCTGTTTCTCATTAATTTAATCTTTTTGTAGAAATTTATAGTTGCTTCCTTGTAGTTTTTGGAGAACGTTTCAGCTGTGAGCGTAAGGTTATATCATAGGAGTAATTTTTAGAATGGTGCAGAACAAGCAGAAAGGTCATTGAAAAACCGAAGAGTCGTTAAGGGTAGATAAGACAAGTTGCTGTTGTTGTTATTGTAGCAGCAGAAATAGCAGTATAATAGTAATAATATTTGTAGTAACAGCAGCAGTAGTAGTTTAAATAGTATATTTGTAGTTGTAGTAGCATTAGTAGCAGTAGTAGTAGTAGTAGTAGTAGTAGTAGTAGTAGTAGTAGTAGTAGTAATAGTAGTAGTAGTAGTAGTAGTAGTAGTAGTAGTAGTAGTAGTAGTAGTCGTCGTAGTAGTAATAATATTACTAGTATAATAGTAGTAGCAGCAATAGCAGCAGCAGTAGTGGTAATAGTAGTAGCAATAGTAAATTATTAGTATTAGTAGCAGAAGTAGTAGTAGTACTGGTGTAGTAGTAGCAGCAGCAGAAGCAGCAGCTACAACAGCATCAGCAGTAACAATAATAATAGTGAAATATTTAAAAAAAAAAAGAGAAAGAAAAAAACAAACTTACAACGGACTTAAAACAACGTTGCATGCACAGACAGCGGCTGCCATCTGAAGCATTCTCCAGCTTTCATCTCGCATTAAGTAAGCCATCAGTCCAAATAGCACCACTGTGAATGTCCAGTAAAGACCAGATAAAATGGAAGCAATGCGTCGATTTTTGGCTGTGAGAAACTCCATCAAGATCGTGTGTCCTACCAAACCAGTTCCCTGTGGGTGCAGAAAAGTAAGGCAAGTGATCGAATGAACAGTTGACTGGGTGCATGTAGTTTTGTGTGTCTAAAGATAGTGGTTTCTTCAGTTCGGTAGTCCTACAGATGGCTCATTAGGGGATTTTGCCATTGGGTTGTGTTAAAAAAAAAAATACAACTAAGAGACTGTTTACGACAGTAGCGCATCGGCAATCTGGGTGTTCATCCGGGTAAAGATTCTACGTCTTCTACTTCTTCACGTTCACCTACTGTAGAATCCCTCGGAAAGTTCTGGTTGTTCGTCCAACTCTGGACTTAGGTCTTGTTCCCAAACCTAGTTTTTGCACGCACATCCGTTTTACGAATCTAGCATACTTTACAACAGACTATTGGCTTCTTGTCAGTGCAGTAGAGAATAATTGGACATTGTTGACAAGTCTGAGTAGTGGATCTTGTAGTTCATGATAATTGTTAGATTCTGTGAGCTTGGATTAAAGGCAGTGCATCTGTTATCCGTGGGTATTTGTAATCTTTTAATATTACGAGATCTTCAGCTGCAGTTAATATTGATCTAGCTACGGTAATTTGTTGTTGCTCTATGAACAAGTCCATCCACCTATTGTATACTTTTTTTTTATATTTGAGTCCATCTGTAGACATGTATGATTGATTGGCACCTTTCCGTCTTTTCAGACGATAGTGTTACATTGCGCTGTGAGGAGGCCTGGGACTCACAGCCCATGGCGATGGCGAGTGTGACTAGCAAGACCCGCCCCCGTTTAGAATTGTAGTATGGGATTTCAGGATCGTTGTTGTCAACATTTGTGTTTAGTCTGTTTCTTCTCAGACACCCAAATCTCATCCTTTCTACAATCATTTCTTCCTTGATTTTTATTCCATTCCTGAAGTGCCCCCTCCACAGAAATGTGTATTCGATATTCTCATGGTTAGAGAAAATGAGAGAATAAGAAGTTAGCTTTTTCTAAATTCTTGAACATTTACTGTTTCATCTTGTAAACCAAAAACTCACGTAGTCTCTAACCTAAAGGATGGCTTTAACGGATTATAGGTATCTCGATTCATTAAATTGAGGCTAGTCTCCCTAACTGTTATGTCTCCCGGGGCAAAACTTCAATGCTAGCCTGTTAATTCCTTGGCGATACCAGGCTTAAAGATCCCTTTGCCTACACGGCATTATTGTTAATATAGGCGTGGAAACAAATGACGAGCTTTTTTTCGTCCTTGATTGAACTGAATTATAGATTATAAAGATTGCTCTTGATTGCAAAGTTTATGTTCCTATCGTTTATCTAGTAAATACGAGATCTGTCAGTTATCATTATATCATCATCATCATCATCATCATCATCATCATCATCATCATCATCAACCTCATCATCATTAACTTTAACTTTCTCCTAAGCTCCGTGGGAAGGAACGATGTGTTGTCCTAAGTCCTAAAGTCCTAATGACAGCACTGGCCATTGTCATCGCCTATGGGCGTGTACTGTGATGCCGATCAATGCGATGTATTACTTCTTTTCAGCCTACCTTCCTGCTAATCATTAAATGCGTATTTCAACAGAAGACGATCAGCTGTCAGTTTATTGCGCATGATCGTGTGGATCTGTGATGTTCTAAAAAAATGGATGGCCAACCTATACCTACAAAATATATCATTACGATATAAAAATATAACACTCACCATGTACATAATATAAATGAACAATATAAAATTTGATGTTTACACAACAGTATGGGTCTCTGTGACGAAGTGGTCAAGCCTTTTGCCTCACGGGTCCTTGGTTCGTCTAACGACTGCGTCTTTCGGGTCACCGGTGCAATTTTTACAGATATCCCCAGGGATCGTCGCAGGAGCTACAAAGATGGTGCTTTGTGCAACGTTAAGGGAATATTGTTAGCCCTTCTGTGCAGATAGATCTAAATAGTAAGTAAAGTAAAAAACAGAAAAGAACACTTTTCTACACCTTTAGGCTATAGGGCATATAGGGCTAGACCAATATTTTATAGACAAATCGGCACACACGTGCGATGTGGTCAGCATCACGCCGGCTGCCTTTACTATTCAGGACTGTACCCGGTACTCGCTCAAGCCTAGGTCGACCTGGGAGCTAAGGTAATTTTTTTTTTTTAAAAGTCTGGGTCCGCCAGGGAGCGAACCAATGACCTTCTGATCCGAAGGCGAGGGTCTAGCCGCTGCGCCAAAGCGACTTCCGAGAGATCTAAATATATGACATTCAAAGAACAAAAACTAACAACAATAACTGTGCAGCAATTTTAACAACAATAATAGCTTGCTAGTTAGTTAGTTAATCGACATATTATCATCATTGCACATCTGACAAGATAAGTAGCCTGTAAGAAGCGATACCTGTTGGAAGAATCCACACAGAAATCGGAAAGCGATCATCACATAAATGTTTGGGGCGTAGGCTACTCCAAAGCCAGCTGCGGCCAGCAGGAGATTGCATACCACCAGAACCGGTTTGCGTCCATGCTTGTCCGCTGAATAAAAAACAATACAGATCTACACATCTTGTTTACTTCTTCCTATTTGTAGTAAGTAAGGGAAAGAACACTTTTAGTGCCTTCAGCTCTAGAACGCAGATTGCTATCCCTTTTTTTTCCCCTTATAGGCTTATCGACTCCAAATAGGTGATGAGGGCATCATCATACCGATCGTCTTTTCGTTCCAGGGGCTGTCTGTATGTTGATTCAAATACATGACAGCTGGTTTGTCTACCGCTTTGTCAAACCATGTGTGTATCTGCAGTTATCTGTCAGTTTACATGTATAGTGTGATTTCACGATCCACCTGATATCTTATATCTGTCTTGTTGGTCACACTCTCTAAATGGTTAGTCTTCTTCTTCTTCGTCTTCTTCTTCTTCTTTTTCTTCTTCTTCTTCTTCTTCTTCTTCTTCTTCTTCTTCTTCTTCTTCTTCTTCTTCTTCTTCTTCTTCTTCTTCTTCTTCTTCTTCTTCTTCTTCTTCTTCTGCTTCTGCTTCTTCTTCGTCTTCTTCCGTCTTCACCTCCTCTACCTCTTCCTTATCATAATCGCAATCATCATTACCTTTTGCTTGTGCTTCGCTTCTTCTTATTATTATTAATATTATTATTTATATTAATATTATTCATTTTCTTCGTTTTCTTCTTTTGCATTTGCTCTTTAAAAGTCTATTAGCATATTGTGTTTTGGTTTGCAGCTAGGCTGCGATATCTAAGTCTTTCTGCTCAACTGATCAGATTTAGGCAAACCCATAAATTGTTGCCTATTATGACATTGTTATTAGGCAGGCATTTGTTCTCTCCATTTGATTACTAAAATGAGGTGCCCAGAAATATATAGGGGAATAAGGTTTCTGCTTATTTTTATGTTTGTCTAACAATTTTGCCTTCAGGTTGTGTCCCCAGGATCTGAAACACATTTGTAAATATTCGACTGCCTTCCATGGCATAACACTACTAACATGAGAATGAGAATAACAAAACAAGCAATGTGACTTACCAATGCTAGTAAAAATCAGCGCGCCAGCAGTTTGCCCAATCATTAATATCATCTGCACTAGCTCTTTCAACCCAACGTTATCACACACCATATCCCACTGAAAGTAGATACATTGATACCTTGTGATGTTTCTGGACTACCCGACGGTGTCCGCCAAGATTGCTAGATGTTTCGGGTTCATCCCCTAAGGGCTGGGATTTTTATCCGTGGACTTGGACTTCTAGTAATTTACCCAGGTCTTTGGGTAGTGAGATCGGACGCCCGCGTGCATTGTTGTGCACTTAAAAAATCCCTTGGCAGTTGGAAATCGAAAAGAGTAGATTAACGGGCAACACTTTGACAGAGCCTGTGCATTGTGCTGAGTTTCTTTGGACTCAAGACTTAAGTTAGAACAGAGCACTTATAGGTTACTACAAGTGTGCCATGATGTTGATCCGTTGCTCAAAACCTCAAAAAAAACTCCGGATTACCTGGCATTCAAACAAATGTGGAGCAAAAGTGTGCTTTATAAAACAGTCTAACACGGATTACTTAGACTGCATAATACTATAAATGAAAATAAAAGACTGTAATAAAAAAGTAGTTAATGTTGTCTTTCATTGTTTCTTCTTCTTCTTCTTCTTCTTCTTCTTCTTCTTCTTCTTCTTCTTCTTCTTCTTCTTCTTCTTCTTCTTCTTCTTCTTCTTCTTCTTCTTCTTCTTCTTCTTCTTTTTCTTCTTCTTCTTCTTCTTCTTCTTCTTCTTCTTCTTCTTCTTCTTCTTCTTCTTCTTCTTCTTCTTTTCTTCTTCTTCTTCTTTTTCTTCTTCTTCTTCTTCTTCTTCTTTTTCTTTCTTCTCTTCTTCTTCTTCTTTCTTCTTCTATTCTTCTTCTTCTTTCTTCTTCTTTTTCTTCTTCTTCTTCTTCTTCTTCTTCTTCTTCTTCTTCTTCTTCTTCTTCTTCTTCTTCTTCTTTCTTCTTCTTCTTCTCTTTCTTCTTCTTCTTTTTCTCTTCTTCTTCTTCTTCTTCTTCTTCTTCTTCTTCTTCTCTTCTTCTTTCTTCTTCTTCTTCTTCTTCTTTCTTCTTCTTCTTCTTCTTCTTCTTCTTCTTCTTCTTTCTTCTTCTTCTTCTTCTTCTTCTTCTTCTTCTTCTTCTTCTTCTTCTTCTTCTTCTTTCTTCTTCTTCTTCTTCTTCTTCTTCTTCTTCTTCTTCTTCTTCTTCTTCTTCTTCTTCTTCTTCTTCTTCTTCTTCTTCTTCTTCTTCTTCTTCTTCTTCTTCTTCTTCTTCTTCTTCTTCTTCTTTCTTTCTTCTTCTTCTTCTTCTTCTTCTTCTTCTTCTTCTTCTTCTTCTTCTTCTTCTTCTTCTTCTTCTTCTTCTTCTTCTTTCTTCTTTCTTTTCTTCTTCTTTCTTCTTCTTCTTCTTCTTCTTCTTCTTCTTCTTCTTCTTCTTCTTCTTTCTTCTTCTTCTTCTTTCTTCTTCTTCTTCTTCTTCTTCTCTTCTTCTTCTTCTTCTTCTTCTTCTTTCTTCTTCTTTCTTCTTCTTCTTCTTCTTCTCTTCTTCTTCTTCTTCTTCTTCTTCTTCTTCTTCTTCTTCTTCTTCTTCTTCTTCTTCTTCTTCTTCTTCTTCTCTTCTTCTTCTTCTTCTTCTTCTTCTTCTTTCTTCTTCTTCTTCTTCTTCTTCTTCTTCTTCTGCTTCTCTTCTTCTTCTGCTGCTTCTTCTTCTGCTTCTGCTCTTCTTCTGCTCTTCTTCTTTCTTCTTCTTCTTCTTCCTTCTTTTTTCTTCTTCTTCTCTTCTTCTGTTCCTTCTTCTCTTCTTCTTCTTTCTTCTTCTTCTTCTTCTTCTCTTCTTTTTTATCCTCCTTCTTCTCTTCTTTATTCTTCTTCTTCTTCTTCTTCTTATCTGCTGCTCCTGCTGCTCTTCACCCTTATCCCCACCCTCTCCTCGGTCACTCATCTTCTTTTTAAATGCGAGGTGACTATTATGTAATTAGGAGTATGTGGTGGCTAAATGCTTCCCTGCAGAAACGGAGGTGACAGGTTCGAATCCTCACTGAGGTCGGCATTTTGTTTCTTTCAAAAGTGACCTTGCCTACGCGCTTGCCCCTGCCTTATGAACAGGCGGGCAACTTGGTTGGCTGCACATCTTAGTGGAATATTGATCTATGATAGGCAGGCATGGTTAGGGCTCAGTGAGAGAATGTCTGCCATTCAGAGAAGAAAATGTCCACCCCAGTCTGGTCAGACTGAAACAGTGTGGGCTGACGAGGGGATCTGGCTAATCCTCGACGCTCAGTTGAAAGACAAACTGGCGTCTAATCAGAATGCTACTTGCAATACTGGTATTGAAACTTTGCTCTGGTTGCTAAAGATGGGAATGGAGCGCTTATGGGAATGATGCGAATGGTTTGATGTCGGTTTTTTAATCAATTAGAATCTACTTAAGGGAGTTGGGGGTGCTAAGTAATGTCTTCTGAAGTATATGCAGCGGTAATATTGTTAGTTGGTTAGTTCGTCGACAGATTATCATCATAGCAAATAGAACCATCCAATCCATAAGTGCTGAGATACCCACTTCCGTATCTCCCTCAGCGTATAGTGGCTTATGGTACCAGTTCTATGTTGGTTTAATATTCTTTTTTGAACCCCTGCTAGTGCTCTTGTCTGGCTTTACTCCGCTTGATTCTATGTTCGTATAGCCTCGTCTGTGTTGCAGATTCACAATCATAACTTGATTCGTTTAATCGAAATGCCTCGCTGAGGGCATTCAGTATATATGCCCTATCCATTACTCATCTGTTTCCCACGTAAGCATCACCTGCACGTCTGTCAGCTCGTTTATTGCCCTTTACACAAGAATTCCCCAGTAAAAATATAAAGCTGATTTTTGTCAGCATAGATCTATTCAGTCACTGCACAGTTGTTTTCGTATGCATTTGTAATGCTGTAATGTTGACTAAAGCACACGTCCAGTGCCGATTAATCTTTACTACTATAATTAATAAACAACAACTGTTTCCGTTTTAGATTTGTAATTTTGAATCTGAAAGGAGCGTTCTTCCTTAAAATAAGTGCTGTCTTTTCTCCCTGAAGCTAAATTGCAAAACATCATGTCCAAAATTATCGCATGACAGTTAATTTTTTGAAAAAAAAATAAATAAATAATGCGTGTAGTTTACGTAAACAGATTACCTCAGAGACGAACGATATATGCTTGTTTCCATGATAGTCGTGTCCGGCCACACACCCGAAGATCGCCACGGTCTCCCTGACGCTGCTCTGGTTGCTAACGACGGTGATGTCACACTTCCCATATTCCACTTCATAATCAGATGTGTTGACTGGCAAGTGTTGTGTCAGAAATACCGACTCGTTGTCCAGTTTCTTGCACATGTGAGGCGGTTCATAAGCTGAGAGGGTATTCAGTAAGGATACTAGAGTGTGAAACCAAGATTTAACTTTCTCAGGTAGGACCGGCTTTAGACTTGGTAAAGCCCTTATAAAACCAAGAGGTCGCTACCGTTTTGCAATACACCAGATAATTTCAGAAAACTTACAAATATATGCGATTTTTAAATATATTCTTAATGGAAATATATTGTCGTTTGTTTTTTTACTAAACGAAATAATAAATAATTTGTTTGTAAAATCACAGAAATGGAAATTATATAGTGCTAGAAAAAACACTAAGTTACAACTCATTTCCAATCTCTGTAAATACATTGTTTATGATGTTTTTTGAGTTAATAAGTTTCTTTTTTCTTCTTCTTTATATAGGCTAGAACACATCGGAATTAAAAAAGAAAAAACCTGAGATAATCTCAGTAAATAATATTTTAAACATTTCTGGGCATGGGGTGCAATTTGTGAATATATTAAAAGAAAATTTTTATTGGGGAGTGGGGGTAGGGGGGATAAGGAAATATGAGGTGGCTGCAGATAACTAAATTGACATGCACTAAAAAAAGCTTTATACGATTCCTGGAATACTTATCGAGTCGTATTTGTTTCAAGAATGTACCTTTGCTCCCAGATTACACAGCCTACAATTGGTAACAGGTAAGGACATGGGAAGTAAATCCAGCCAGAGTGATGCATGTCGTATCAACCACCGAGTACGATTTGTCTGTAATCATGTTTTTTTTTTTCATAAGCTTTGTGTAAAAAATGCATACAATGACAACTGCACTAAACTGATCAAAATAATGTATCATATTCCAAATGCTACAAAGAGATATTTCTCTCTACAAAATCCACCTATAATTTCATATCACCGGTAGTGTACAGCTTGTATATATAATAATTACTCACCAGTTGCCGTCCTAATATGGGACGCAGTGTTTTGTTATTTCAAAGCCCCACTTTGACTGTTTTCGGGTGCCCTAATGTAACCCCTAACGATGGAACTAGGTTTCTGGGAATTACGCCCGGGTGATTGTTATCCGAATAGTGGCACTTTATGTCACACGGTATTTATCGCTCGTTGTGTGGTCCTGGTGGGTATAAATGTCACACACACACACGCACACACACAAACAGATATATACATAAAACAGTGTGGAAAGAGGGAGGTGAGGTCACAATAGTAATTTACTATAATTATATGGTCCTCTTCTTCTTCTGCCTCTCTATCCCCCAATGGAGCATATGCCGTCAACCAACTCACGCCAAGTCAGTCTATCCTTCGCCATTACATGGAGCTCTCCTCATGTCCTCCCTATATTTCTGACTTCATTCTCCAGCTCTCTTCTCCGTGTGTTTTTGGCCTTCCTTTATTCCTATTACCATGTGGGTTCCAATGCAAAGACATTCTAGTAATGCTGTTTTCCTGTTTTCTCAGTGTGTGTCCTATCCAACGCCAGCGTCTTTCCTCACGTTTTGGTCGACTGGAGCCTGTTTAGTTCTCTCCCAAAGCTCTAAATTGGTTATTCAATCATGCCATTTAATTCCCTCTATTCTGCGCAGGAACCAATTAATGAATGGGTGTACTTTATTATTAATTGCCTTAGTTGTTCTCCATGTTTCCCCCCCCCCCCCCCCCCATACAAAAGTACTGATTTGACATTAAAATTAAAACATT